CCGATGCAAAAAAATCAATAGGGACTTAGGCTAGTAACAATACTATAAGTAGGTACTCTAACTGTCATACTGTGGGACAATATACAATACACTGTGATTGGTGTTTCATTTTCACTACCTACCCTACAGTTGACTTCTTAACCAATTTAAAAAGGAGGTACTCAATTCGAGTGTACGTTTTTTTATATGTTGTGTTGCCTCAGAACTTTTCTAGGTGAACCAATTTTGATGATTCTCTTTTTTATTTAAAAGCTGGTTTTTCTCGTGTGGTCCCATATAAATTTGATCAAGATCTGACCAGTAGCTTTTGAGTTATCTCTAGTTTAATTGACATCGAATACATTGTTGATGTTCTCATTTTATTTATATATTGAAGTCGGTTGTACAAAATTTTTATTATACCACTAATCGCTTATTATAAAATACCTACAGTGATTTCGGTAGAAGAAATCATCAAGCAAATTGTCATTTTATATTTATTTTAAGGTAACCTTTTTTTATAAAATTGAAGTGACAAAGGAAATCACAGTCCACCTGTTGGTAAGTACCTAGTGCAGCCTATGAGCACCTGCAACCAATTTGAATAAAGAAGGCTACAGATGTATTGTTACCACCTCTGTGAACTATCATGGAATGTCTCACAACCTTTTATTATATTGTTACGAGCTTAGGGTTTGTGACAGTAAAAACTGCTAATTGAATTAACAAAATTGACACTTTAATTACTGAACACCAATTACAACTTAAAGCACACTAATGATTAATCACACTGATCACTTTAAGTCGCAGTTATATCGCTTCAAAGTATTCCCTTGAATCGCCAATGCAATACTGACTCGATCGCGGTCTTTGCCGGTCTTATACAAGCCCTCTTATACTGAAACATCTAGAATGTTCGAGTACATACCGGTCCCGACTGACTAGTTGTAGAGAATTCCATACTAGAAGAATGGTGCTAGTGCCATGTACCAGGCATTAATTATGGCGTGTAATAACATAACATAACAATATATTAGCTCTTATACCCTACAGACCAAAACACAACTATGCACGCACTGCAATTTGCCGGCAAAAACAGGTAACATGTTGGTACTTATTTTGATGGAGTTCAGCTAAATAATAAAACACATCGTTACCACCATTCTTCACCTATTACAAAATATTATGGTCGAAGAAATTTACCTCTAAATTCTTTACAGCGTTAAAATTTCTACCGTATATTATAAATGTGAAAGTTATTGTTGCGAGCTTGGATATCAGTAAATGTTAGTGCTAACATTTTAGCGCTTTCGGTGCTAGATTTAGAAAATTTTAGCGCCTAGCTGATAAATAAGCTCTTTTTGATTTCTGACATAGTAATTAGTAATAAATCAAAATAAATCCTACTTAAATATTCATTTATTTTCAACAATATGTATTTAACATTCATTCCATTCATTTTACTACACGCTGAAGTAAATTCAAGTAACATTCGATTTAGTAAACATTTTGTAGGTACAGCTACTGTTATTATGTTCTATACAGCCCATCTGATATGTAATTAGCTACTATAGCCCATGAATATCTGTAACTAACTTCAACAAAGAGGCTGCACATACGTTGTCATCCGTAAGAACTAAGGGTTCAACTCGCTATATCCCTCATACCTAAAGTGACCATTTATTTTTTTCCTCAGAGCAGGACGCCTTTAAAATTATTACACTTTTTACACTTTTGACTGCCTTCTTGGTCTAATGGTCGTAAACGCAATTGCTGATTATGTAGTCGCGGGTTCGAAACCCGAGTCGGGTCAAGAATCATTTATTGGGTTTTTCTGTCATAAAATTCTCAGTAGCCGCCCGGAATAATGATTTAAAACTTATTGAAGTTGGCGGAGTTTCACCACCGTGCCTCCGGAAGCACGTAAAGCCGTTGGTCCTGCGCCTGATCTCTCTTCCGTCGTCTCGGATTACCGTTCCAACGGACTATAAGAGTGAGGATAGATCTTTCACACTTGAGTAATATAATCCTGTCCTGCGCAGATGGCTATTCTCCAATGAGAATAGCTGCCGTTATCAAAATTCAATCTGGAGCCCTTTATTATAGTTTTAAAAATAAAACACATAGTTGTTTGAATTTTTTAATGATCAAAAGTGAGAATGAGAACTTAGAATCATATAAAATCTGGCTGCTGGCTTTTTAATTTTTTCTGAACAGCAAATAAATACTAATTAGAAATAACTTATTTGATAATTTATTGTAGATTAATTAAAAATTGTCTCTTCGTAACTTTAAGTTTAAAAGTGTAGGTTTTCAGAATAATCACGTAACTAGCAAACCTGGTACGCGCGATGTCATAATGATGGTACGGGTGACAGAGTTTGCATGATGCTACGCTTTTGTTTGTCAAAGCGGGTCATTTTTACGTATTTTGGGGACAGCGGGACACAAACCTTTAAATCGGGACGGTCCCACCTGAAGTGGAACGTATGGTCACGTTACTAAAACCGGACCACAGTAGTGTATGCACTGCTGCTTGCTGCTTGGAAATTTAAATTGTAAATAACTTCAAATATACCTTCCCTATATCGTGTTAAATCTGTCTGATTAAATTCATCACGTAATCTAGCGCTTTTTGATGCGCTAATTTAACCAAATTTAGCGATTTTATATTGGTTTTTTCATTTGGCAGTATGTACGTAGTAATTTCTGCTTTGTCTTGTTCTTCTGCTAAAATAATATTATGTATTTATTCTTCTCATGGAGTGTAGAGGTAAGGAGAACCGTCTCTGTATTAAAAAGTATACATAGGAAAGCGCTAAATAAGGGTGGCGCCACAGTAGCTAGAGGGTAAATTTTAAAGAACATTTATAACTTATTGCTTAGACTTTCACCATAATACTTTTTTATAATAATTAATTTATGGTTTTCAAAATTTTTATTTTCAAAATCACTCTTAAAGTGTTTCATGACGCCTTTTTTAGGTTATATTTACTAAATTATTTAAGACAACGTGAGTAGTTGAGGTTTTAAATACTGCAGTTTCGTCAACTACTCTAGTCACCACAAATATTAAAAACCTCAACTCAGTACACTTCACTCCGTCGACAACTCCTAAGTTCATTTCATATCCTCGAGCTACTCCAGCGCTGTTGTGGAGGGTTTTGAACTGTAATTTACTGCTTACAAATTGACACTTTTCCAACTATTCTCCTATGTGAGATGGTTTTCCTTACTCTTACACTCCTTCCTTACTACTTAGAGGTAAGGAGTACAGACTCTGTATAAAAAAGTGTCCGTAGGAAAACGTTAAATAAGGGTGGCGCCACTGTAGCTACTTAGAGATATTGTCCTCCTTACCTCCATACTCCATGACATTGTGGTTAGGTTTGACATTTGGGAGTTTTTTGCGGGAACTTGGCTGTAGACGGATTGTCGCTCCTGTTTTGTCGCCTAAATAAGGATTTGAAGTGGATTTTGATTCGTAATCGTTATGCGATTTTGTGAATTGAGTGTCCACGCATGTGAACTATTAGAGAAAACGACGAAACAAGTGCTTTGATGTCGATATAAACCTCAAGTTATTTTGATCGCTTTGGCGCCTCATGAACTTGAGTGGCTATCGTCATCAACTGTCCGCTGGGTTGAGCTGTCGTTAAAATCTCCCAAGGGATTCGCAATGTGACGCATCAGCATATTGTGAAGAAAAAGAATATAAAAATGAAGATTCCGAAAATGATTGGCTCAGAAGGGCTAGAACCCAGAGCCGTAAAGCCAGTTTAATAAAAAAGTTAGACATTTGGTTTTTGATGACTTTTGAACATATTTAGATAAAAATTTTAATTGTTCTATGAACTGAACTGAACAATATTCAGCAATCTTAAGCTCACAAAACACTTTTTTCTCACTTAAACCAACTTGTAAGCTCCTTAAATCGACCATCGAACTGTCAAAATTGTTTAGCAGTGTTTGCTAAACATAAAAACCGGCACGGAGAAAGGGACAAACAATCACACCGCTCTGTCTCATTTCTATGCAAGACGTATGCATAAATCTATCTTTTTCGTGTGTGAATGCGAAAGAAGGCGTCAATTTGTCTATAGGTTTCTCTATCTACGAGAACTATGGAGTGTAGAAGAAAGGAGTACCAACTCCCATAGTAGAATAGTTGAAAAAGTAGCCATCTGCAAGCAGTAAATAACAGTTCAAAACTAGCTACAAAAAAAGAGTAGCTATTGGGATAAAATAAACTTGGCAGTTGTCGACGGTTTAAGTGTGCTGCTAAACTGCTTAGTAGCTCTAAAATCTAAAATAATTTGATTTAGTAAATATAACCTAGAAAAAGTCGTCTATCCCACTAATATTTTTCGGTGCGTTCTTTAAAGTATACCCCGTAGTTATAGTGGCGCCACCCTTATTTAACGGTTTTCTATGACACTTTTAATACACAGTCTGTACTTCTTACTTACACACTCTATAAAGAGAACGATCGTCGTAGAAAATAGTGTCCCAGAAATATGGACACCATTAGTGAGGCGCTGCGATCACAAAGTTCGGTCAATAAAAGTCATTTTCAGTCTATTTTTCCGATCAGATGCTAAACCACTTTCACATCCATGCACAATAAAATATTTCTCCATTTTTTAATGTTTCTTTTTGGCAAAAATTACAAAATTATGGAGCATGAAAATTTTCTCATTAAAAATGAAATGAAAATTTGTACATTATTCAACTAACTTCATCTTGTACTCATAAACAGCTAACTTCGCAGTCACTACTCACCGACGTCAGCGCCGCTATATATTCTACAATTTTCAAGGACAGGCGGGCTATGCTTTATGATATATATTTATAGTACGTAGTGATCGTTCTCCTGTTCTATAACCTTCATGATTATGACCATAGATAAGAGTGTATATACGGAAAATTTTGACAATTATTGACATTGACAGTTAATAAATATGTGCATTATTTTACTAAGAACGTGTAGATATAAAAGTAAAATTAATTTGACTAACATAATGGCTACAAGACTATCGAGTGACATGACAAAATTTAAAGAAACTTTAAAATCTTCCAAGGAAATTGTTATTCTTTCCGGAGCCGGTATCAGTGCAGAATCTGGCATACCTACATTTAGAGGTGCAGGTGGATATTGGAGAAAATATCAAGCTTCGTCTTTGGCAACTCCGGAAGCGTTTAGAAACAATCCAAGTTTGGTTTGGGAATTTTATCATTACAAGCGAGAAGTGGCTGCCAAAGCACAGCCTAATCCGGTAGGTAACTACCATTTTTTTAGAATAAAGTTGGCAAGCGGGCATCCACCTGATGGTAAATGAATTCTGTGGACCATATTCATCTACCTTATCTATATTATATTAAAATAGGAGCCCCACTATGCGGAGCTCCTATTTTGGGTTGGGTTTACAATTCGGTCGCCTGAATTTGAAGATTCAATCACTGTGGGGTCTCAAGGGGGTTTATCTGAAGCACCCCCACTCAATTTTTGATGCCGGAGCAGCGTTGAAGTATTTTTAATTATTTTTTAAAAATATTGGTAAATGACTAATTAATTACGTTTTTGTCATTTCATCTGTCAATGTCATATCGATATATAGTACTGAATTGATCTAGTGAATCGATATATCACCCTTTATTAGGTTTCTTGTAGGACGCCATATTGAGGGCCATTGGGTCCTTGAAATGATTGAGGATGGGTCTGAGGGTGCCCTGACAACATAAGTTCTGCTGACGTTTTGGTGCCATAAATTAAAAAACATATAGAGATAGGCCCCACAATTCATACCGACTTTTGGAGAGCATATGACTGCCTAGAGGAACATGGGTACACCCACAAAAAAGTAAACCACTCGGACCCTGACAATCCATTCGTGGCTCCAGATGGGGTTTATACCCAACAAATAGAGTCACAATGGAGAGCCATGAAACGTTTTTTAAAAAAAAAATTTAATCAACCGCAGAATTTTGGTGATGCCATGGTGGAATAGCGGCGGAATATTGCTAAATATCACAGAAATCCTTTTTTGCAAATGGTAACAGCCATAAATCATGTCGACGGAGCCTACTTCCTACTTCTGAGTGGTTTTAAGCTATTGCATAGCTTCTATCGCGGGCCTTGAGCGCGGGGACCGAATCCAGAAATTCCGTAATGAATAAAAAACCTCACGCTCCCCACTCCGATGGGCACGGAGGTGTGGCGTTGAAAGCCGTGCATCATCTAATGTCGTTTCAGTTCGGCAGACTTCGGCACGGTGTTGGTGTGCGTGCGACTAGACGTATGCGTGTACACTAGCTGCTAACTCAATGATAAAAATTCCTGAATAACCTACATGTATTGTAAGATAATAAAAATATTTTAAACAATATTAACTTCTCATTTATTCAATAAGAGAAAAAAAATTGTTTTCTTATCGGTCACCTCGCTCAAAAAGTGTAACTTGATTTAATATCAAAGACTTAACTGCATAAATAAAATAATTATAATTGGATAAGTTGATAAAAAATGCTATGCAATAGCCGCGGCAGTCACCGAGTGCCACACATATTTTTTTAAAAAAATAACCACGAAGGGGATAACTTCTAACCTAACCTGTCCGAGTTGCGGTACCCCACATCCCAGACTCGCTTCGCTCGCTATTGCACTCAGTATAACACCAAAATATTAACTTTTATAACTACTTTAATTTTAAACTTAATTAATCGCTGCAACAATTTGTAAGAAAGGATCTTTGCGATTTTTAGCAGTATTCCGCCGCCACAAATATTCTACTATTCACCAAAATTCTGAAACTCAGAAGCAACGGCATGACGTAAAGTTTGTCTGTCGCTGTCAACAAAATGACCGAACTAGCGATTAATTTTACCCATTTTTAAATCGATCATCAATATTGGATGAATCGATTCACAAAAAATCGAAGTCTTAAAGATCGCTTTCGCAAAAATCGATTTTTTTTTTATTTGTGTTAAGAGTTTATATTTACAATTTCAAAAGATACAATAAAGTACAGATAACATTGAATGATTGAATTGAAAAACTGATATACTTTACGAGTTACGGTACATTCAACTAATTTTAAATAATTTTATAGTTCTTAATAAAACAGAAAAAGATTTGATCTCAATTCTCTAGGGTGAAATATCGATCCACTAGATCGATTCAGTCCTATATATCGATATGACATTGACAGATGCAACGACAAAAATGTGGGAATATTTAATTAATAAGTCATTTACAAATATTTTTAAAAAATAAATAAAAATACTTTGACGCTGCTCCGGCAGCAAAAATCGCATGGGGGTGCTTCAAATAAACCCCCTTGACCCCACCTACAAACCCTCAAATTCAGGCGACCTAATTGTAAACCCAACCCGAGTGGTTAACTTTGACCAAAGATGCCATTGATCTCATTATTGCTGAAAATAAGTTTAGACCCATCATGTGATTTTTCCCATCCTACAACACGCTATCCCACCAATCCCGAAACTTGGCAATTTTTTCTCAGCAACTAAGGTTTTGCTCAATTTGCTGATTTCAACATTAAACTAAAAAGGGTCTGTTTTACCAAAAACAAATTGCTGCTATTATAGGTGGTAGTAACTATTGCACAGCGCTTGCAATCTTGTCTCCATGTTCCTAGAGTCCACTTCATTTGTTTTTAAAGGGTTGTCTGTGTGCTTTCTTGTATCTATGTACATGGTGTGTGGTGAACTATTTTATTTTGTCTCTGATATTGTAAGATGAAATGATTATATTAAATTACATCTCCAAACCTATACTTTATTATACTTAATTACATAATGAAAAACTGACAAGTTTCCTTAAAAGTTGATTCAGTAGAAATCTAACTTACAATTACAATTAGTCACTGAATTGAAAGTTTATAGAAAAGGCAGATGGGATTAAGACATAAATGTTAAATCATACTGACTTCACCAAAAAAAAGCCTATGCATCCTTGGCTTGACGGAAAGACAGGCTTTGGAAGAAAAAGTAGAAGTGCAGAGATGCATAGTTGTGAATTTTTTTGAGGATATGTCAAAAGTCTCTTAAATCAAACAGAAATCACAGACGGGGGTAAGACACAGTGTAAGAAGGAGGAATGATCCCTACAAAGGGTCCGACTGAATGGGGGAGGAAGAAACGGCGGTTCACGTGTTGCTGACATTTCCGGAGGTCGCTTCCCTAAGTTGCTTGCAACATTAAGGACTGTTGAACTTCTTTGGGGAGATTTCATGCCTCGAATAAACACATTATTCCTGCCCACACGCAAAATACGCGCTTAGACGTAGAGTTACGGAAAATAGCCCATTGTAAACTAAACTAAAACTAAAGGGTTCCCTCTTAAATTAAAAGCTTAGAAAGTTACATTACATAGCCACCACCAGTGATCCTTAGATAGTAGGGGATATGCTTCCACTACTAGTCATCATCAATAGTATTCTGCTGCGAGGTATTAGCTACACGGGGAGATTATTCTTTTATTTGTAACAACCAGTAGTGGCAGATTAGACACTTTCTTTGTAGAAAAGTTTATGGCGTAAACACTACACCTTAACTTACTATCAACCATCTATACCTTTTCTTTGAACAGTTTAAAAATATATAGTTTCTGGATAGTTTACAATCGTATTCAGTTATAGTAATGCAAAAATAACTTTATTATCTTACAAAAATGTATGTTTAAAAGTAATGATTTCACTACAATCCCAATAAGAATTTATATTCAAATATGTGCATTAAATGTGATGTGACATGTAACACATCCCAAGAATTAAAATGATGACAGAATGTGATGCTTTGAGGTTAAGTGAGAGATACAAGTGTCGTAGTTTACTTGCTTAAAATTTACTGTTTTATTAAGTTCTGTTGATTTACTTTAGTTAATTTTTTGTCTTGGTGGTGGTTTTAACATCTGTAAATTAGTAAGTATTTGTAGTTGTGCCCTTTTTATGTAATTTTTTGTGGTAGAAATATAATGGAGGACGAACCTCCCAATCCTGGAAGGGTTCACAATGATTCCTTTTCGTTACCCATTAATATTGACAATATAGAACTAATTAACTGTAAACATGCCCAAGTAAGTAATGGGTCTGCCCATCAACAAAAAAAAATAGTTATTACTGATCCAAACCAACAGTTACCTTCAATACAATCCTCATATACCATACAAAACATCACATAACCTAGACAAAACAGTAATTTTTAGGGATTCTAAGAGTTGTTTATCTGCCATTTTATCTAACCAATTTCAAAGTAAATATAAAGTCCCCATAATTCTTGGTATAAAAAGCATTCTGTGCCATCTTATAGGGATTTTGGTCTGTTTAGCCTGGATACCTAGTCATAGTGGTATCTGTGAAAATAAAAAAGCGGATTTGTGTGCCAAAGAGGCTACTAGAAGTGGCACCCCTCTAAATATTACCTATTCTCGTGACTTATTTTTACTTGCAAGGAAAAACCTTGTTAACACATGGTTTGAAATATGGAAAGCATCACAAATGCAAAAATGCAAGCACTATGCTGCTATACAAGATAATATTCCATCAAGACCTTGGTTTTTCATATTTAATAAAGCAAACAAACATGTTACTTCTATTGTCTGCCGGTTGAGAATTGAACATGCCTCTACCTATGTTCACTTAGCCAAACTTAAGATTAGGGATAGTTCTCTGTATGAATGTAGCTTAGATGAGGGAAACACTAACCATATATTCTTTAACTGCACCAAAGTGTCATCATCTCTATACAATTGTCTGCCCCTGATATCCCAATAATCGTCCCATAGACTTTAACTCCACAAATACCTCTTTTGTGTATATTTTATGTGATTTTATTAACTTTAACAACATTAAGCTGTAATTTGTTTGTCATGTATAATAACACATTAGTATTATTCTAACAACATTGTCTGTCTTTTGTTTTAGGTAATTCAACAGATAAGTTGGCTAAAATTAATCACATAATATTGTTGTTATACTCTTGTATTATCAATTTGCCTTTTTTATCAGAGTTTGTGTCCCAATTAAACTTTTTCGGATGTAACATGTCATTGCCGAATTCATCGTAACCTCCATAAAGGATGAAGAAGAATGATGACAGAAATAAATATTTTTGTTAATCTGTTACCATAGTAAATATTTTGAACAAATTTTCATACGGAATTACAGTCTTAAGACATTTCCACTATCTTTGATAAATAATTAATGTGTTAATGATTTCCTTTTATCAAATAATAAAATAATAGTAATAAATACTAATAACTGAACACCACCGGCTGCTTTTTTGAGCATTGGCTGCACATTGGCCAGCTTCTAAAATTTAGGCATTTTCCAGTCAGTAATAAGAGGTTCCAACTAATTAACAATTCCCCCTTGGTCTATGACTATGACCTACTATGGTTAACAGATTTCTTTAATGTGATAGAACATGTAAATTATCATTAGAAGGTTTTTGCATTTTCTTATTGACTACTAATATTACACACTAGTGTGTTTTTTTCATACAGGGTCACAAAGCTATTGCCGATTACGAGTCAAAATATGGGTCCACCAAGAAAATAACTGTGATTACACAAAATGTAGATGGACTGCATGCAAGAGCAGGCACTAAAAATTTGGTAGAGTTACATGGAAACTTATATAAAACTCGTTGTACCAAATGTAAAGAAGTCCTTGTAAATAATGACAGCCCAATATGTGAGGTAATGTGTTTTATTAGCCTATAATATAACGTTTTTTTTTTAAATATAGAAGTATGGGTGGCAAATAAGCTCACAGTACACCTGATGGAAAATGAGCACCGAAGTATTAACTTACCTGATGGTAAATGAATAATACTACTGTGTAAAATGCAGATGAGTTGTCATCTCTGAAGACTATCATGGAATGTCTCATTACCAATAGAAGAGTCTGGTTCTCGCCACTCACCATGCAAAACACAGAAGCATTGTATGTTTATTTTATGCTGCTATAATGTTTAACCTTTGTACATTTCAAAGAAATGTGATGTCTGATAATATACACCTGTAGGAAGTCCATTTTACATGTTATTTACCAACCCATAGAAGTTCTCTATACTAGCTCGGCAAGTACCTTTTTGTCTTGCATATTTGACGCTACTTCCTGTAACCTGTGAGGTTATTTTACGTTTTTAACGAGATGGTATACTGCCATCTATTGAAAACCAATTTTCTGGTAATTCCTATAGCTGTCTCCAATAACATTGCAGTCCGCTGCTGAAATTATATCCCCTAATTCACAACGCTGAGTAGATACCGATCCTTCTTCTCAATCTACCTACTTAATGGTAGAACCACGCTGTAGCTATAATATAGTTGTAGCACGAATGACTCTGCTCGACCAGGGAAGAACCACGCTCTCACAGTATACCAGTGTAAAATAGCATATTAGGTAATACTGCTATGTTTCATATGGTGAGTGTAGAGAACCGGAGATCCTTTTTACTGGAAATGAGGCATTCCATCTTAGTCCTCACGGGTGACAACGCATTTGCATTTTGATCCGTAATCGAGGATAGATATGGATGTCTAAGGGCCACGGCAATCACTTATCATCAGGTGGACTGTGTGCTCGTTTGTCACTTTATCCTATAAAAAAATGCTCATAGCATTTAATATTTATTATCTGTACCTAAACCACATCAGAAATCAGCAAAGGCCTTTGCGCAGCTGTGGAAAATATTTAACATATTTGTAAATTTTTTCTACAAATAAAAGTAATATATATCTCATTATTACACTTTCATAAGTTTGCCAAACACACTCAAACTTACAAACTCTTTGCCTCTTTTAGTGTCAATAGAAAAAGTTATTCTTATCTTTTTTTCCCCAAGAAATAAGCAAATTGGTTTATTCAATAGCTACAAACTTTTAAAGCCATATACAATATGTAACGTAATTAACGCACACCCTGAGACACCCCAATTTGTATATTATGTTATAATCGTAATACATACACTGAATTTTTAGTTAAATATTTTTATGCACAGATTATTTATCAAATTAGTTATACTAATTCCGGAAGAATGTTGTGGTCACAGTACAAATCCACGAACGCAAAGACTTTAACGTGCTTGAAATAAAGTTCATTTTTATTTATTTTTATTGAATGACAGAATTAGTAATAATACAAATAAAACTGCACTCTTAAAAGTCTTATTGCCTTAAGTTACGGTCCATTTCAGTTTGTTTTGACTGTACAGATTTAGTGCGACTGTAATCTACGTAGTTTTAATTATTTTTGGGAAAAAAAATTCCTATATTAAAAATGATAGGAATCGATTCAGTAAACGATTCTGAACAAACTACTTTCTCAAAGTGCGTTAATTATGTTACATGTTATATATTTTCAACATTGATTAACTTGATATTAGGCATTAGCAGATAGAGGAGCTCCAGATGCCAATATAATTGGTTCAAACATACCGGTGAGGTCTTTGCCTCACTGTAAGAAGCCTAGCTGTGGGGGATTACTGAGACCTCACATTGTTTGGTTCGGTGAAAGCTTGGAATCTGCTGTTTTAGAAAAAGCAGGTAACTAAAATTTAGTTGTTGTTGTTTTTTTTTTAAATATTAAGTAATATTTTTGATAACAAATTGTCAAAAAAGGTCCCAGTTCATCTAATGGTAAATGGCCATTGAAATCGATTTCAAACAAAGAACACTATACCCAGCAAGATATGTTATCAACTCCGAACGCCATGATGAAATGACTCATAGCCTGTAAAAATATACTGACTTATGAATCCTTTTTAATGTGTTTTAAATCTACACTAATATTATAAAGAGGAAAATTTGTTTGTTTGAATTGAATGGGCTCCAAAACTACTGGACCGATTTGAAAAATTCTTTCACCAATGCAATCCTACATTGACCCTGATGAAAATAGGCTATAGTATATTTTCAAACAACATCAAATATCGTTTACAGGGAAGCTCTGAACTAATAAATTTAATGGCTTATGTGTTGTAGATATTATCTTTTACAAATAATATTTCTAATAGAAATAAAATAATGAAAATTAAAAAGAACAAAAAAAATACAAAAATAAGTAAAAATCATAACAAAAAATTCATTATCTATACTAATATTATGAAAAAGAAAGATTTATTTTGTTTGTGTTTGTACCGAATAAGCTCCGAAACTACTAAACCGATTTTAATAATTTTTTCACCAATAGAAAGCTAAATTATCACAAAGTAACATAGGCTATAATTTATTTTCGAAAAAATTGGAGATCTTTAAGAAAATTGTAACTCACAGTAGCAAAATTTTGCCTATAAAGTTCATTATTTGGCGTGCGCAGAGAAAACTTGATAGATAAAAATTATGTGCTACATGATTAAAATACTCATTATTACTTGCAAAAAAGTCCGCGTAAGGAATATATTTAATTAATATAATTAGGTCACAATAGTAGCTTTTGTGTTCTAAAATTTAATTCGGTCGAAACAAAAGTCGGTTACAGTTATATCGTAGTTTAGAAAGCGAGTTAAGAAATAATTTGTACCTCTTTTTAAAGAGCATACTCTATTCTTTCATATTTTGGCGGTAAAGTTGGAAATTTTAATAAACCTAAACTTTGAGTAAAAAAATCGATTAAAGATAAGAAATGTTCATATTTTGTGGCAGACTGCGCAAAAAATATAAATGATATCGCTTTCGTATGTATAAAAGGTTGATAGAAAATTCATCAAGGATCGTTTCGCACCTCCACACTTTTCATGTACCGTATACTTATCTTTAAAATTGGAAAAAACCGCGTTTTGGGGCACTTTTTGGGGCGCTTATCCGGGAGGTAGAGAGTGGTTAAAATTTAACTTAGCTGTATAACGTATACGATATATATAAAAGGTTTTTCAACAAGAACTTTGTTTTCTAAAACAAAATAAAACAAAGAGTTTAGATGAAGATGATTCAAATTTTTATTGTATTACGAAGAGAAAAGTTTGGCAATTATGAATGAAAAATGATATCTGGCAAATGTCCACCACGACCACGCTGACAGATGTCGATTCTTTCATCAAAGTTTTTAATCACTTTTTGGCAAAATGGCGGGTCTATTTCGTTAATCACGTCACGGATTTTGAGTTTTAAGGCCGCGATCGATTCGATTGGCTCCGTATAGACTCTGTCCTTAACATAGTCCCACAAAAAATAATCCAGTGGTGTTAAATCACACGATCTGGCTGGCCATTTAACAGCTGAATTTCGTGAAATTATGTGATCGGGAAATTTGGTTTGCAATAAATTGATCGTTTCGTTGGCTGTGTGACATGTGGCACCGTCCTGTTGAAACCACATGTTTGTGATATCGATGTCATCAATAATAGGCCAAAATTGAGATGTTAACATCTCGCGATAGCGTGATCCATTGACCGTTACCGCATTTCCAGCCTCATCTTCGCAAAAAACGACCCAATCACGCCTCCAGATCACATAGCGCACCATACAGTGACACGTTGAGCATGCAAAGGCTTCTCAATAGTCGCTTTAGGATTTTCAGAAGCCGGCAATTTGCATGAATGACAAGTGAAAATGGGCTTCGCCTGAAAAGATTTTCTGAATGAAGGCATTTGGATATGTGGTGTCAGCTCAATTTCGTTGAACCTTGTAAGGCTTCAAAGCCAAATCCTTACGCAAAATTCGCCATGTGGTGGTTTTGGATAACCCCAATTGTTGAGAACGTCTACGAATTGACAAATTTGGATCTTCTTCAACACTGTGGCTCACGGCTGCGATGTTTTCGGTTGAACGACCCGGTCGAACACGCGTTGGTGTTGATGAGCCTGTCGATTCAAATTTAGCGACCAAATTCTTAATAGCGGTCTCAGAAGGACGATTATGTTGTCCGAAAATATCACGAATTTTACGAAACGTAACTTTAACAGAACCACCATTTTCATAGTGGATTTTAATTATTTTAATGCGATTTTCGAGCGAAATTGAATTAATTGTAGCAATTGCCCAAGCATCTACTACGAATAGGTCAAAAAACTAAATGTCAAAACTGTCATGTTGTTGGTGTTGCCCCAATTGAAAAACAAAGTTCTTGTTGAAAAACCCGTTACTATACGTATAACGCCGATTGAAAAGTACTATATTAATTTTGCCAATTTTTTAGCTAAAATGACTAAATGAGCGAAGTGTCCTGTCATGTCACGCGGCGCAGACACGTGATATACGCGGGTAAACCTTGGGGCACAGCTATATGAATTATTTTTAAAACAAAAAACTATTTTTAGAATTTTTGTTTTTCTGTTTGTTCCGGCAAATCTCCGAAATGGCTGAACCTATTTTGTCAGGACTTTCACTGGCAGATAGCTGATGTTATAAGGAGTAACTTAGTCTTATTTTCATTTTAGAAAAAGAATTGGGGTCTTTCGCAAAAAATTCAAATCCATGAAATTCAATCATAATAAATTTCACGCGAACGAAGTCGCAGCTAGTAATATATAAATTCAGTTAATTTATACCATTTAGATGACAAGCATAATAATAGGGTGTGGACCCGGAACTCAACAATTCTGGGTTCGAATCCACCATTAAACTCTTATTGTGAACCACTACTAACACTATGCTTTTTATGCTAACCTGGGGTTTAAGTTTATGTGAAACCTGAAGTTAGCCTGGAGTGATGAACAAATACAGTTTGACAGATTTGTTATATCAAGGTTTGACTGTCAAACCTTGATGTAACAAATCTGATGGAGATTAAAAAATATTCGCTGTCCAAATAATTTGTTACAATGAGGTTTGCTATATAGAGGTTAGGTTGATCTAAGGTTCATTTCAGCAAGGAAAGCAAGCTTAAAAAAAGTAAAACACATTGTAATGATTACCTTACAACACTAAACATTAATTTATTGACACTTTAAATATTTTATGCAAAGGTTAATTAACCTTTTGAGCGCCAAAGTCGTCTATACGTGACCAGCACCCGCGGGTCCTGAGCGCCAACGACGTCTATAGTTGACAAAAAACCCGGCCCACAAAAATATGAAATATAGACATTGGAAAATTATTACTGGTATTTTAATTCTACGCCCCTCAAAAAAGAATAACCCAGCAACATGTTAGTATAAAAAACAAGTCTCCTAGAGCCACAAGTACTAAGAAACATTGAACTAAAAAAAATTGATTTTTATCTAAGCAAATACTATCTCCAGCACGCCAAAGTCGTCTATGTTTGACCGCTAGTGTTGTAATGCGTTAGGCATAAATTTATTGAAAACTATTCAAAATTAAGCTCAAACATGTTTTTTTTTTCACAAAATTTTAAAACAAAAGGTTAGAAATATAAAACTATAATTAGCTACATGAATAAAAAAAATTATCAAATTATCTTCGCATAATAAATCTAATATCTCAACTCTGGCGCATCCTTAGCGCGACATCGAAAATCAGTTCACTGGGCGCCATGGTCAAGTATAGACGACACGCTGATGACGTCATAAGCGATAAGCGGAAAAATTAGTGCAGTGCAACATGAACGATTCCTCAGAACTCATTCGGATTTTGGAAAGCGTCGACGATGATGAATTTTCGGAATCTGAATCATTACCTGAAGATTTAAGTGAGGTAAGTGTCTTAAGTTCCTAATAAATTAAACTTATTTTACTAACATGCATATTGCCTATTTTCCTAATAAATTAAACTTATTTTACTAACATGCATATTGCCTATTTTATGTATCTATTATTTTATAATATTTTGTTTAATTTTAAATATAATAAGTTCGATACAAAATGAAACTGTTTCCCGGGCGACTCTTGTGAGCACATTTTTTATGTTTTTTTTTTTTCGAGTTTAGAATAACTCATGTTCCTTTACTTTTATACTGCAACTAGTAGATATTTTTTTCTGTCAAAAAGCGAATGGTAATATTGTTTAGCGAAATAAATATCTTAAACCATATTTCACCATAATCCTTCCGAAAAGTAGGTACTGTGAGTAGACCATAAATCATAAATCAACCTAATGAAAAAGCATTAAGGTCCAAAATAGTATATCGACTTTCTACCTTTCGGTATTACAATCGTTTCGAATAGTATTGTGAGTAGACTAAAAATCAATGTAATGGTAAAACATTAAGATCTAAAATAGCGTGTCGACTTAGTACTAAATTGCTCTTTTGTTCTCGGCGGCGACGTTCTTTTTTTGTTACTAACACTTTCGCGTCTTACAGTAATCAAAGGCTTTCTCACACATACAATCTACAATGATAATAATTACATACATTTTTCTTCATGACAAGTTTTCTCGTGAATTGTATTTTTTTTTTTAATCAAAATATTGTATTTTTACAGAGACATGTGTTATGACTGGGGTCTTCATCAATTGGACACTTTAGTTGAGAGAGTTGAGTACGATGACAACCATTTTAAATCACTTACACGGTTTGGATATCATGCACTTCATCATTATTTTCCAACGTTGGATCATGCAGAACTGAAATATCTTTATCCTACCTTTCTTGAGCACTGCGAGAAATTTGGAGTTGAATTTCGAACATCCACATATTATAAATCGTTTATCAGTCATAGTAAGCAATTATTAAGGAAACGCCTCAACAATTTTAAAGAAAGAAAAACTTTGTACGTTAAATAGAAACGCTATAAATTAACGTACAGAAAACACTTCTGACCATACTCTAATAAATGACTTTGGATGTTATTTTTCGATGACTAATAAATTAGGATTTTGAACTATATACTTCTTATAAGGAAATAATATTATTTTTAAAATATTTTTATTATACGTATTTATAAAGTAAAATATGTATGTTTAAAAAAAATTTAAAATTATTCATTAATGGTATTAAGTTTTGACTAGTAGGTCTATTGGTAGCGTTTAATTTTGTGAATTAAGAATATAAATTACTATCCTCGATTACGAATCAAAATGCAGATGCGCTCTCACCCGTGAGGACTTACTTAGATGGAATGCCTCGTTTCCAGTAAAGAGGGTCTCCGGTTCTCTACACTTACCATACGAAACACAGCAGCATTAAGCTACTATTTGACGCCGGTATTCCGTGAGAGCGTGGTTCTTCCCCGGTGAGCCGACCCATTCGTGCTACAACTACTCTCCCGTAATATAACTACAGCATGGCTCTACCACGTTAAAAAATTTGCTTTGGCCAGCTAAACATTTATGTTTTATTATTCCATAAGATTTTTATTATTATTTTAAGACTAATATTACCTATAATTTATTAATTATTTTTAATTGTTGTTTTCTATATTAAGTACTTATTGAGTTAAAGACCAAGATTTTAATATTTTAAGACTAGACCTAGTGCAAATAATTATATACAATTGTTGATTAGTGAATAATTATGTACCATTTGTTGATTTCTGTAATAAGTCAGTAAGACCAAGATTTTAATATTATAAGACTGATTTTCCTAGTGCGAATAATTACCTAAGTATATACAATTGTTGATTAGTGAATAATTATGTACCTTTTTTATTTTAATAATATAAAATTACAAATAATAAATGTTTTTTTACTTAAGGTATGAAGAGCAATTTTTCATTTTGTGTTGTGCGATTTTCTTTATCAATCTCAAAATCATTTAGCAACATCAGCATTATATGAAACCCCCATTGTCATAAGAGCGTGACTTTTCTTCTGTGATTCACTTGGCCTACGCCTCGCCATAAAATATTTTGAATCGATGTCTGTATATTTTGGTTAGATCGATTTTGAAATCGATACACAACGTGCGACACGGCTACATCTCTAAGAAAGTTTCAAAAAGAAAGGTCAGCTACGCCGTTGTCGTCCAGTCGTGACAGTGACGTCATCACGATGGAGAGTAGTGTTGTGGTTTACTACTATTTTATTGTTATTGTTTGTTTTTTATTTATGTACAAAGTACGAGTACATATATAAAAAGAGTGGAAGACAGCACAAGATTAAATAAAACATACCCGATTATAAAGAGTCATTTATTGTATAAAAAACCAACAAAAACCAGTTATTTTGTGTTATCGATATATCAACTCTTGGCAGCACTGTTTTTTTCGTAGGTATTTTTGTTTACTTTTCGCTTTGGCGTACAGGACACGGTAGTGAGTTTTTGGTGTGGCGCTCAAAAGGTTAAATTTTCTATTTATGTTTTGCAATAATTGAAATAGTTTTAAAGAGTTTTTTACGGAAGTTATTTATAATGTACAGGTATATTTAGCATTAACTCTTCGGCTAGTTCTAGAGGATTTCTAAGAATTAACAACGAACCTAAATATAAGAAAATTGTTATATTTAGGTTCGTTGCACTAAAGTTGTACTGTATTAGTATTGTTAATAAGCATTGCTAGTATTTTTCCTTTTTTTTTAATTAAAAGCAAAAAAACTTAGTAACACAAATGCTTTAATAGTCACACAAACCCTGATAGTAGCTATCACGATACTCATTAGGAAATAACTTTTATTATTAGAATAGGGATCTGCAATGACTGCAAATAAAAGATTTCATACCGCTCATGTTTCTGTTACTTTGAGAGAGAGTGGACTAATCATGTTACTTTCTTTGAGTCAAATCCTTCTTACATTTCAAAAAGCATGTATTATATACTAGTAACGCGTGTTTGGGGTGAAAAGAGAGTAAAACATGACCAGAGCTGAGTGCTTGGCTTAAATTTTATAATATTATGTATCACGAAATTGTAATTTCAAGTGCTGATTTGCAATATGCCCAGTGGTAAAGGAAACTTATGTTACCCTTTATTATACTTATCTTTAGTTTCTTTAGTGTGGTGGTAGTACTGTGGTGGACCGCCAAGCATCCAGATAGTGTGGATGGTATCGGGACGTTTGCCGCGTAGTGCGTTCACGAAATTTGGCGGCTGGGATTAATCCGAACAATTCCTCAGAGCACTCTCCATGGTATATGTGAAATAAAATGCAAAGAGATGCAACATCTCTTCGCAGTGCCAGTGAATCGAGCCGATCGGAAAGCACTCGGTCGTCGACGATTCGAGCCGCTCTGCACTGGATGCGGAAGTGGAAGGAGCTGGCACTGGGGAGCCCAGAGATGGGAACTGTATTCCATGTGCGGCCGAACCTGCCACTTACTTTTGGTAGTTTAATTATTAAAAAATAATTACTTCTGTAGTTTAATTATTACTTAATTCCTTTTTTGCTATAAGTGACTAGCAAAAAAAGAAATAAATAAATTCATTATCCTTCGCTAACTTAAAAAATGATATCATTAAGAATCCATTCACGCAACAATTATAGTAGGAATGACGTTTTATCGTTCATTATAATTTATCAAATAGATGGTTAATATAAATATATATTATTTTTAAATTACATTAAAAAACTTGGACTATTTTATCCTACAATTAAATATACAAAACACTAAACGAAAACCATTTCAACAAATATTTACAAAAAACTACTTACGTAAACAGCGTTAAAAAACAATCAATCGCCTGGAAGGTGCTATGACTGCGTATGTAACACGGGCGTCTCGCGATTGTAGATAATTATTTCACGCAGGTGTAAGTCGTGGCACAATGAAGGAAATTACTTTTATTCACCTCCATGTATCTTAAAATTTTAAATTACAGAATCTGCAATGGCAACATGCGATGTATGCCTTGTCGTTGGCACCTCATCAGTAGTGTACCCAGCGGCCATGTTCGCGCCACAAGCTGCCGCCAGAGGCGCCACAGTCGCGGAGTTTAATATCGAGCCTACACCCGCTACTCCAGACTTTCACTACTACTTTGAAGGTCCTTGTGGGACAACATTGCCAGAAGCTTTGTCTCATTAGTATACAAAAATTTCCCTTATATTAATTTGTTATTGTTTGAGTTTATAATAATTGCTTTTATAATTATAAATTTTAATAATTACTTTCTAGAGGTATTTTTATAGGCAACATTATACTATAATTTTCTTAAGGTTCTAATTGTTTTCCTTTTTGAACCAATTATTACGAAACTAATCATTGTGTCATTTGCCAATTATAAAAATATTATACTCAGGTAGTCTGCTGAAAGTTTTAACATTTTGGTAAGATTGTTTGTGTACATATTTGTTACTTATTATAATTTTTTATATATGGGGTTTAAGTAGAAATGTAAATATGTAACAATATTATTTATTTGTGATATTGCAAGATGAGTAAGACAAAGTAAATACAATATAACTATGGTTGTTTCTTTTCCTTATGCCTTGAAAAAAATCTCGCTATGCTTCCAATAGCTTGTCCAAACGTGCAGCTGGTCATTAAAGATTTCTGAAAAGAGATTTTTTCAGGTTAAAAAACTGCTTAGCGGTCCTTAATAGTGGCAGATGTCGCAGGTCGATTGTTAGTAGATATGCTGGAGACGAATTACTGTCCAATTCCCAAATAAATAATTCTGCGATCGCCACCAGTTTATACCCAATAAGAGTGTTCTACTTTTAATCATTCTAGTTTAATTCGATTTATTCAAACATCCCCCTTTTTCAATGAGAAAATGCTAGAACAGGCTAGGCAGCTAGGCTTTATGATTATTATCATAAGGTTCAGTCTTGCTTATAAAATGCCCAATACATTTCAGCATATACAACTACAAGACGCAAAGACAAAAAAGATTTCGTATACAACATGTAACATAATTAACGCACATCCTGTAAGTAGTTTGTTCAGAATCGTTTACTGAATCGATTCCTATAATTTTTAATATAGGTAATTTTTTTATCCCAAAATAATTAAAACTACGTAAATTACAGTCACACTAAATACAGTCAAAAAAAACTGAAATGGACCGTAACTTAAGGCAATAAGACTTTTAAGAGTGCAGTTTTATTTTAAAGAAAAACGAACTTTATTTCAAGCACGAAAGTCTTTGCGTTCGTGGATTTGTACTGTGACCACATCATTCTTCCGGAATTAGTATAACTAATTTGATAATAATCAGTGCATTAGTAAATTAATGTTTAACTAAAAATTCAGTGTATGTATTTTAACATATATACTAATTGGGGTGTCTGAGGGTGTGCGTTAATTACGTAACATATTGTATATTGTTCTTATTACTATTAGAATTCCAAGTTTCGGGAATATTCTCGAACAAACGTGACGCAATACGCAACTGAATATCGTGACAATATTATAATATCGATGATTTCCTAAGTAAAAGGGCAGATTTAATCCATTGCTGAAAAAACCACTCCCGTTGAATTAGTGATGCCGCTGTGTTAATGTAAAATGAAACATGTCCAGTTTACACATTCTTACCTGAACAAAAGAAGGCAAGGCGGATGTGGTTTGCGGCCTAGAATATCTTTCGTCTACAAGTAACACGCACGCATAATCGTTGGCGTGTCTCACCGCTCTACCTGTAATTACATTTAAAAAAAAAATATTCTAAACACTTAGAACAAGTAACAGCCACACAGTTTCTCCTCATTTCTGAGAAGCTTTATGTAGCAGGGAATAATTCAGCTGTGTCAACAGTGGGACGCTTGCGGGCTCATACTCTATTTGAACACAGTAAGTTAAGCTAAAAACCAATAAAGCCTATATATATACATATATAGAGAACCGTCTCACATGGGAGAACAGTTGTAAAAGTGTCCATCTATAAGCAGTAAATAACATTGATTAAAACTACTTTTACGGATTTTATCGCGTTAGTAAATAACAGTTCAAAACAAGAGCGCTAGAGTAGCTAGAAGGTATGAAATGAACTTAGCAGTTGTCGACAGGGTGAAATGTTCTGAGAAGAATTTAATATTTGTGGTGACTAGGGTAGTTGATGCAACTGCAGTCTTTAAAACCTCAACTACTCACGTTGTCTAAAATAATTTAGTAAATATAGCCTAAAAAAGTAGCCATGAAACACTTTAAGAGTGATTTTGAAAATAAAATATTGAAAACAATAAAATAATTATCACAAAAAAGAATCATGGTGAAAGTTTGTACAATAAAAAGTTCTTTAAATTTACCCTCTAGCTACAGTAGCGTCATCTTTATTTAACGCTTTCCTACGGACACTTTTTAATAAAGAGATGGTTCTCCTTGCTGCATAGACTAAGTTCTTTTTAAAAATGAAATAAGTACTAAACGAACTTTCACCCTGCTGGCAAGTGGTTACTGCAGTCAACGCGAACACTTTTTTATATGGGTAAATACATGCTACACATGGTCGCCCTGGGAAAAGACCGGACGGGTCTCGCACCGATTAAAACCCCATGATCCACCTTCAGGGCCACGGAAACGCTTTCACACACATCCGCAGCCCTGTCATCGCCGGCCGCCCCATAGCAGCCCCTCCTCGGAAGAAGACTACTCCTCCTCTACCTCTTTCTCAGGTAAGCCGCACCAGAAGACATATCGCGGCCTTCAATTTCAACTGCGCAACGGAGGCCCCCGTGTCCAACGCAAGGTCATGGAGCCAGGAAAAACGAACAATCAGAAGCACTAGCCTTCCTGACTCCAGATCTCGTCAATGGCTCCGCCGGCAACCAAGATTCGGTTGCTGAGGGTAGGAGAGCGGCGCCTCGTAATACCGACACTCCTCTCCTCCCACGACCCCACCATTACGTCAGAGTCGCGGAGGACAGGGTGAGTGGCACATCGCCATGTCACCAATCCTCTTTCCTGCGACTCCACGTTGGCTGCAGCGGTAGAAGGAAAGTGCACCCCTGCTGCAGCCCAACAACACACATCCGAAGTGTGCTCGCCAAGGACACCCTGATTGGCCACCTCGGGCCAGCCATGTGGGTTTCTCTTTGTTCACCACAGGTAATCAAACCACGGATACTAAATCCTTTCCCCCCGCCACGTCAAGGTGGAGCCCGTTCGATAGGGGAAATTCTTTCTTTGTGAGCGCTCGGCTAGGGAATCAATGAAAGACTTGCAATTAACTTCAAACAAAGAAAGCTACAGATACGCTGTCTGTCACTTCTGAGGACCGAGATGGAATGCCTCTCGCAGCATGATATTATACTGGCTCTATGTATCCTGCAGACCGGAACACAGGAGTCATGGAGTATAGAGATCCCCTCCACAGAGATAGTGATCCTCGGCGACTTCAACGCCCATCACGCCAATTGGCTTGGTTCACGTTTAACCGATCATGCGGGGAGATCTGTTCATGATTTTGCCTTGGCATATGGTCTGACACAACTGGTTACTTCGCCTACGCGGATTCCAGATGTGGAGGATCACCTTCCCTGTTGGACCTTCTGCTGACCTCTCGGACCCGGACGGATATCAGATTTCCGTCTCGCACCATTGTCTTGTCCGGAGTGTGGTGCCACTCACGCTGAAATCGCAGTTGCATTCTGCAGGCTGCCGCCGTGTTTGGCACTTTAGGTCAGCCGATTGGGATGGGATGCGGTCTTTCTTTGCGTCCTACCCTTGGGGGCGGGTTTGCTTCTCGCCGGACGATCCCAACGTTGTTGCGGATTCTGTCGCTGATGTGGTACTTCAGGGTATCGAACTTTTTATTCCTGGCTCTATTCACTGGCACTGCGAAGAGATGTTGCATCTCTGCATCTTGCATTTTCTTACGCATATACCATGGAGAGTGCTCTGAGGAATTGTTCGGATTAATCCCAGCCGCCAAATTTCGTGAACGCACTACGCGGCAAACGTCCCGATACCATCCAACCATCTGGATGCTTGGCGGGCCACCACTGTACGTTTCAAAAAGAGTTTTCTTCTGCGTACAACCTCTCTGTGGAATAGTTTACCACCGGCGATTTTTCCGGACCGATACGACCTGGGGACCTTCAAGAAAAGAGCTTACTCTTTTCTAAAGGGCCGGCAACCCACCTGCAATTCCCTTGGTGTTGCAGTTGATCATTGGCGGCGGTAGTCACTTAACATCAGGTGAGCCGCCTGCTCGTTTGCAGAGGGCAAAAAGGGAGCTTCTATAAAAAAATAAAGGTAAGGAGGACAATCTCCCTAGGAGAATAGTTGAAAATGTGTCCATCTGTAAGCAGTAAATAACAGTTCAAAAACTCTCCACAACAGCGCTCGAGTAGCTACAGAGTATGATAGATCGCCGTAAAAATACATTGAGTGATTTTTAAAAAGAAATTTGAAAGCAATAAAATAATTACTGTAAAAAGAATTATGGTGAAAGTCTGTGCAATAAAAAATTATAAAAAGTTCTTTAAAATTTAGACTGTAGCTACAGTGGCGCCCCCTTATTTAGCGCTTTCCTACGGACACTTTTATACAGCGGCTGTACTATTTACCTCTACACTACATAACAGGAGTGCTATTTGGCGGCAGAAATAGGTAACCTATAGAGCAGTATAGCTCAGTTGGTAGTAATGCAGCATAAAAAATCCCATCTCCCTCGGTCAAACACACTTAATGTGAAAATAAACAAACTCAAAGCAGACGATTTTACGAGACGTAGGTTTTTGAACATCCCAAGTTAACATAATTAACAAAAACAAAGAACTCAACTGCAGTGATCCAATAAGACATATTTCACATTATGCAAATAATATATATTGGGAAAGTATTCACTAATATCTTTAGTGATATCATACATTTACTTTATTATTTAAGGTCGCAAGTTTTGATAGTTCATGTCAACTATATTTATTACGACGTTTTCATTAAGTCGCTTTCTTGTTTGTCTGTCTGTATATCGTTCTGGATAGAATCGTTCAACTCAAATTTCGAGTACTTCCCGATGAACTAGAGACTTAAAATTTTGAACATAGCTCAGAATCGGATAACAATGTAAAAAAACGAGGTATATTAATTTTTTTAATACAAAATTTAAAAAAAAATCACTAAAAATATTTAAAAATTATTCTAACCTCATGTAATTGTCCACGCAATCAAGACAAATCGATAATATCATTTGCCAGAAACCGGACGTACATACATACCAATAAAAATATTAACCTATCACAAACACGTCAAGTGTGCTTGTATAGTTGTGTGTCATCAACACGAGTACACATTGAAGCGGTTTAGGAAGTGTGAGTTAAAGCAAGTAATTATAACATTACATTTAATTTACACTGGACTAATTAATTTACACTCACTTTAATCTACACTGCGATCTAATGAAATGCGATGAATGATGCGGCGATAGATGAATTCAAAACTTAAAACCAAAAATTATGTTTATATTAGACTTGCAACGAATAGTATATTCGGCCACACGCCGAATACCGAATATTCTGCGGCCTTCCTGGGCGAAAAAGTATTAGACCAAGAAGGAAATTTAGTGTTTATTCAGACCGTCTATTCTCTGAAGCTGGGTTTGCCTACGTGATGAAAAGGAGTAAACTACTGCCTGAAAATGCAAAAAAATTAGTCTTTCTGCGCCATTACCTTCCACTTTAATTACGATAATGATCTATTTGTTTTTGTTTTTTTTTAATAATATGGAAGCTGATTATGTACCTATGACTATTATAATGATTACATTAAAAAAATTAATTTTACCAATTATCTGACCACAATAAAATCGCTTATTTAAGTATTCTATATTCGGCCGAATATTACCTAGACATTCGGTATTCGACCGAATATGATAAAAGTAGCCGAATAGGCCGAACACCGAATAATAGCCGAATATTCGTTGTAAGTCTAATTTATATGTTTTTAAACAAACTATATTTTGTTAAAATAACCAAAATAATTCAACAGCACAACAATATTTGTCGGACACAACCTTTTGCATATTGAGTAGAATCTGAGGTTATTTGATGGAGTATTCAGATTTTACGATATTTTGGTACCTAATATAGTACTATTGTTAATTTCTGAATAGTCTTGGTTTCCTTTTCTGCTTACAATTCAATTGAGAAAATTGTTAGGAAATTGTTAAGAAATGAAACCCAATATCGTTTACGCACACACATATGTAAGCCCACAAAACACACACTACCATAACACCCTAACTTACCAAAATTTCTCTGTCAGAGTTGATATGTACCTAAGAAAAATAATTGATCAAATATATACTTCTTAGTTCATATAGGTAGAACATGTATTAGAGAAACAAACTATTATAAATTATTAAACTTGTCCTGAACAAAGTGGTACTTTACAATGGTTTTAAAGATTGTCGAAGCCCAGATACAAGGAAATTAAGGATGTCAAAAAGTATTTAATCTTTCATTAATCGTACATTTTAGAAAATAAGTGACCTCCCAGACCATTTCACACCAGCTATTTTTGTTCATGTTCCATACTAGGTTTTACTTAAACTGGCCCTAGGTCACCCCTGTGGCCTTTGGCTGTTTGCTATGGACATACGACGTAAACAGAATGTGTATATAGAGATGAATTTTTTAATCCTAACAAACTGTCTATACTTTACTATCCCATATAATGTAAATTTATAAATATTGAGTTTTTATATATATATATATATATATATATATATATATATATATATATATAGGATAAGGTGACAAACGAGCTCACAGTCCACCTGATGTTAAGTGGTTGCTGTGGCCCATAGACATTTATGTCTATCCTACATTACGAATCAAAATGCAGTTGCGTTTTCACCCGTGAGGACTAAGATGGAATGCCTCGTTTCGAGTAAAAAGAGTCTCCGGTTCTCTACACTCACCATACGAAACACAGCAGCATTAAGCTACTATTTTACGCTGGTATTTTGTGAGAGCGTGGTCCTTCCCCGGAGCCGACCCATTCGTGCTAAAACTATACTACTATAGTCAACCAAATCTAAGAAATCCATTTTGACAGCTGTCAGACTTATTGCACCAAGCATGCCATCCAAAAAATGGGAACATACAATATTCGATTATTAAAAAAATCGATATCGATTATTTAGAGTTAGTAATCATTTATAGTTTGGTTTGAATAATACCAGAATAAATTAAAAACTGATAATTTTAAATACAAGATTTACAGTTTCTTCGTATTTGTTGTAACTGCTTATTTCTAGATGCACGATTATAAAAATTTTAGATTGAAACTAGATTTAAAATAAATTTATTCATTCACTTTCAGTACAACTACTTGAGCTGTCGTTGTTTAGATTAATTATTATTTGATTTTTAATAAAGCAGTCAAAATTAATGTCTCTCAAAGCCATCCATAATCTTTTTTTGTTTTTTTTTCAACTACTTTTGCCCAATCATCGTCTTTGACATGAGCACGTGCTTCAACCAATATAGAAGAAACAGTCCAAAAAGTTAAAGCCGAGTCATAAAATAAGAAGACAAACACAAAATCACAAAATTACGCACAGTAAGCTCCCGAAATGGCGGGAGATTGAAATTACGTAGTGGTTTTTTCAGCTCGGCCTTGTATACGAGTTTTTTTTGCCTAAATTACGTAGTGGTTTTTTCAGCTCGGCCTTGTATACGAGTTTTTTTGCCTACACAAGGACAATGGCGAAATAATAGGTGATGGAATTATTAAGTGTCTACCTAAGTCACCGTTACAGATATCAATAAAATAATTTACTATAGAAAAACTAATCATACACAATTCAAAACTTAATTGACTAGTTGTTGTAGTTTTCACGATTCGTCAGTTAAGACAGACGAAGATCTTATAACATACAACCAAGTCCGACGTGTATTTTATTCAGAAAACTCTTCCATACATACTAATGCGTTCTTTAAGGATTCCCCCTATGGTAGTAACTATCCTATATAAACATATATGAAAATTATATTGACTAGTTGTTGTTGTAACGATTTGCCAGTTAAGGCGTTTTATACCATACAGCCTAGGAATATATCTAATTCGTGACTTCTTGCAGTAGTATGACCGAAGAAAAAATGTTCAGGATCTTAAACTATATTTTTACATATTTTCCATTTGTAGACGCAAGAAAAAAAGTCAACTATAATTTATTTGGGAGTTCGCCATTGTCCTTTACGTTGACAAAGTAAAAAAATAAACTTGTTTTATTCATGTAATTTAAGGACTTTTAAAAATAAAAAACAAATATTACATTAAAAAAATAATGATTCGATAATTAGAATATATTTAACGATTATTTGAATCTTTTTGCCGATTATTCGCAAATCAATGAATTTTAATCATCCAAACACTACGGTAAGGCACATAGCGACATATCATTGAAACGACGTCAAATAAAAAAAGTTGATACTGGTTATTTTTTTTTAATATTTTGCTTTATTTGAAAAATTCGAATTTAAATTAGCGATAAAAAACTAAACACGTTGTAATTAAATATAAATAACTTCATAATTCTTCGGATTTAGGTAAAGGGTTATTGTAAATCGTATGAGTACGCTTGTGCAAACTTATTACGGAATGATTAATGTGAAACGTCAAAAGGTATTTCTTATATTTGGTTGACTATAATATAACGAACTGCAGCATGGCTCTACCACGTATAGTGTTCATTTTTTTATTGCACAATAAATACTGGTCAGCAAATAATGTACAAAATCATCAAAGTTGTATATTAAAAAGAATATAAAAATAAATACCAATGCACTGGTTAACAGCTTTCATGCATAAATTTTCGTAGTATACATTCCCTGCGCTTCCACCTATTTTTCTGTTCAAATAGTTCATTTTCTCTTGCAACTCTGGCGACTTGATATTGGGGTATGGCATTCCAATCACAATGACGCAACGGCCTAAATCATCGCTGCGAAAATTTAAATAACATTTTTACGCATTTCGACAACAACGGTTCCGCTGGGAATAACTTTATATTTTTTTATTATTATTATATGCGAGCAGCTATGCAGGTCTAGGGAAAGAGACCAGTATCACTGCGACCTATAAGAAATGAAACCCATTTGTGATCGCTCCTATGGCTATAGTTCACGGCTAAGCCCTATGTCTTCAATGAATAGAAGGAGTTGCTAAGCTGTGAGCAATTTCACTTCGTCTGGGCGGAGTAGATAGTTACCCAGATGAGTGTTACGTTTGCGCATTAAGGGTCCGCAATCAGTTAGGATGTGTAGGCGTTCTTCGTTCTGTCCGTTATGGAACAGAACCGACACATCCATGAGTTGCTTAGTCCCAGGATGGACATGTGCTTTTTAAGACAACAGTGTCCAGTTAGGGCTCTTGCCAGAATGCGCAAGGGAAAAACTTCATTTCAGAAAAATGTGATTGATTTAACAGTTTCAGGAGATGGGCAGCAACGGCTTCCTAATGGCAACTAAATAAAAAACAGCTGCTAAGCACGGCAGCTATGGCAAATATCTCCTCCTATTCAGCAATCTATGGGGAAGGCCTAGCAGTGTCCTAGCAGTGTAGCAAGGTCCAGCAGTGGACTTTTGAAAGGCCTTAACGGTAACGGACTCTGCAATGGATCAAGGGACACAGTGATCTAGAGGCAACGATGCAGCAGATGAACTGGCCAGAAGGGGATCGGCCCTAGCAACTATAGGGCCGGAACCAATAATAACAATCCCCTTTGGCTACGTTCGTTCACTGGTACGTAGATACTTCAATAATTTACACGCTCAGCTTTGGAAAAATTTAGTAGACTGTAGACAAGCTAGGGAAGGCCCTACCTGAAATAAACAGTCGTCTAACCAAGGTTCTAATGAGGCTGAACAAGCCACAGATAAGGATAGTTACAAGTGCTATCACAGGACATGGCTCTTTTAACAAACATTTGTTCACCATAGGTGTTACTGACAGCCCCCTGTGCAGGGCATGCATGGGAGAGGAAGAAACGGCGGCTCACGTGTTGCTGACATGTCCAGAAGTCGCTTCATACAGGGCTAAACATCTCGGCACGCCGGGATCGCTCCCCGAAATTGCTTGCAACATCAAGGGACTGCTGAGCTTCTTCGGGGAGATATCATGGCTCGAATAAGCATATTATTCCTGCCCACACGCAAAATACGCGCTTAGACGTGGAGTTGCGGAAAACAGCCCGTCGTAAACTAAAATAACTAACTAAACTAAGGCCTTAACGGTAATAGTTTCAGGGTTCATCACGTGGGTGGTAGCCAACATAGTACAGAAAATATTATAATGTTTTGAATTTAATTTTTAATAACTTTTAAACTAAAGGACCTTCAAGACCTACCTTCGTCTTTCTAAAAGACCGGTAGCGCACCTGCAATTCCCCTGATGTTCATGAGTAATGATGATCACATACCATCAGGTAAGCTGTGTGCTCGTTTACCTTCTTTTATAAAAAAGAGAGATGAACTTTAAACATTTCTTAAATTGACTGACTTTTATGAGGAAAGCCAATTGTTATTTCATATTTAAAATTTACCGCATAGAAAAATCTCATGGCTGTGTATCCATATCGTTTACATCAGATGTATAATACTCAGAATAAACTGTGATATGAAGACACTGAGAATTGTTATCAAAACTTAAACCCCAGATTAAATAATGTCACTACTTAACTAAAACATTACGAGAACATTGTGTAATGACGTCAGTTTTGTTTTTTACCGGCTTCAATAAGGTTGACATTTTTTTATGTGTTGTTACCACAGAACTTTTTTATGGGTGAACAGATTTTGATTATTATTTTTTATTTGAAAGTTGGTACTTCTCGTATGGTCCCATATAAATTAGATCAAGATCTGACCAGTAGTTTTTGAGTTATCCTTAAATAATGCGCATTTAATAAACTGAATACATTGATTCAGTTGTATTGAAGTCAGTTGTACAAAATTTTTAATTTTACCACTTGTTTATAGTTACATTTCCATCTTATTAGTATGTTTTTAAATACTATAAATCAAATGTAACTGAAACTGGTTAATACAAGAGATTTTAAAACACTATTAAAATTAATTAATTAAAATGATTTAATGTAGCTATTAATTTATAGTGCTATCAACTACCCATTTAGTTATGACCTGGTGCATACCTAAAGTTCAGTCCTTCACTTAACTTGCCACCGACTACACTCAGCATTAACGCTCCATTACGTTCGGCTTCTCTTTTTTTCACGGCTGTCGCAAATTTCTGTAATACCTGCAGATCATAAATATTACATAAAGAAATAAAAATAGTAACTGTTTATATACGGCTCAGTGAGCTATAGAGGTGAACTATAGGAAAAACGAAACCCTTAGCCAACGCATAGGACCCCCTCCCCCTCCTATGAGAGACGACTTGATAACATATTGTGTCCATGGATACTTTTTTCCAATAAAAATATTTGTAACTAACATATATACACTAACAATTTATCATGTACTGTTAAGGCGTTAATATAAACATGGACCATGGATCCAGACCCAAAACAATCATTATATAAATAGTTGTTCCGTGCGAGATCCAAACCCATGAATTGCAGCCAATCGAACCCTCGGTAAGTCGATGCAGTGCAGTGCTTATTCAATCCCACTGAGAAATGAGAGGAGATGCTTAAAGGCTGTAATAATCTTATTTTTAGTTTAGATACGTTTAAATATATCATTAAGCTTTCTATAAATTAAAAAGCTTCTGCATGTGCAATATTTTTTATAGCATAATGGTGACAAATGTGCACACAGTCCACTTGAGCCGACCCATTCTTGGTACAACCGTAATATAGTTGCAGCGTGGCTCTACCACATATTGTACACAATATGTAATTAACTTTTTAAAATGCTATATATTATGTAGTAGAGAGAGAGAGAGAGAGAGCGATAAAAGAGAGAGTGTGAGATACGCGAGTATGTTGCGCAGAAGAAAATCATAACGGCTTCTTTTGTTTCTTTTTTTATATATTTAAATTTTGAAAATAGAAAAAAAGAGGTTTCAATCTGTATATAAACTTTTTGTGGAAACTAATATTTTAAACTATAAAATCGTAAATAATTTAGGATTAAGTATCCCTACATTCTATCGATGCATAGTGTTTCTATGCATTGGTACATAAAGTTCTGTAGATGCATAATCAAAACTTTAGAAAATATTGCGATCATTTCATTCAGCTTAGTATTGACCGGCGAGTTGTTCAAATACTTAAGTGCTCTCTGTAATACTGCCTATACTAAATATCATGCCTAGAACTTTAAAATTGCGATTAAATTTCGGTGAATAATACTCTAAGCTTCGTATCCAAACTCAATAGATATGTCATTTAACATTATTAATAAATTTTATTCAGGAAGGCTGCGCCAAAATTCATATTTTATAGACTATATTAGCTGGTAGTATTTCTTCCCCGTCACTTCCGCCTCCTTCCTGCACGGGCATGTCCAATAGAAGGCCAGATATGTTGGCGTCATTTTGGGCGACCAATAAGACGCGCTGGCCGAAAAGTGAAAGATGGAAAACACACCACCGGCCGTCTGGAGTCGTCGACGTGCCGCCGCCGCGCCGAGTAGTTGAAGACCAACGCTAGATGTGATTGCACCTCTGTGGCAGTCGCGCCACAGAACAACTTAGTAGTGACCGCTTTGCATAGTACAATTTATCGTCACGCACCACCGCAGCTGCAACGTAGCGCCATCAACCTCAAGCCGGAGTAAAAGGCCGCCAGAAGATCAACGCCCAAGTAAGTGCATCTCCTTTCTCTTCTAGCATGAGCTGTTCTCATTTGTTGCAGCTCCTTCCTTACAACAGCTCACACTCCTGCCCTTGCCGGCTGATATAGTGAATTAGGTCCTAGCAAGTGCATTGCTCAAAACCCGGCCACGTGCCACTTCCGCTATCTTGTATTGGTTATAGAGAACCACGCATACCGTCCACATATAGTAAAATCTCGCATAATTGATTTGGCCCGACCCGGGAATCGAACCCGGGACCTCTCCACCATTTTTTGGTTCATTCGGGCCGGATTTAAAATTAGCACCCTAACGCCCCACCATTTTCTGGTTCCATCGATGCTGATACGAAGGGCAACATAGTCACCCTAACCATTTAGTGGTCACCACAGATGCATTACAAAATTATTGGAAATGATGTTATCACTTACTTGATCTACTTCTGTGGCCAATTTCGGTTCTCGAAATATTGCCTTCTTCTTGCTTATACTATCGACAAACTTGTTACTCTTAAAATGTTCATACACAGTCTGTTCATAGGTATAGGAAGGAAGAAAACATACTACGCCTCCAGGCACTATACTGCAAATGTTTCTTAAAATTCTACCCACTTCATTCAACTGAAAAACAAACGTATTTTTAGTATTGATTTTAAGTGACTCTTCATATCTTTTCTTTGTCAGCTTGGACTGGTCAAAGACCGTTACCATTGTAAGGAGAACAATATTATGCCTTAAAGAGAGTATCCACGACTTTTTCTGCCACTAGGGCGGCGCCACTTTGGAATGAGTATATTTGACAGATTTCATGACAGGGAAGTTAATTTGATAGAAAAATGTAGAGACTAATGTTTCTTTCTGAAATATTAGTCATATTTTAAATAAATTAGATTAGACATGGATCTATACCAAACAATGAATATTCCGAAAAGAAGAAGAATAAAAAAGTTTAAAATGTGCAAAATATTAAAGAACACAGTCTACACTAGAAACCGAAAAACTTTTATTTGAAACGCAACTTTCTGTAATAGTTAACCCTAAGTTTACAATATTCCTCGCAATCGAACTAAACATTTTGCTTCATCTTTAGTTATGCGTACAACAAAGAAGTGGAATAATGTACTGGCGGCTGCCTTTCCGTCCGATTACAATCTGGCCGTTAACAATGCAAAAGTGAATAGGCTTTTGTTATGCTAAGACAGTGATTTACTATCTAGGGCTTCACAAAAACTTACAACCAGATGAGATTTCAATCATAAACAGGCTTGCGAGTCGGTCTGACTTTACTGACAATTTCCCTTTAAGTGAATGAACATGCACACATAACAAACGAACACACACGCGCGAACACATTCACACAAACAACCTTTTAAAAAAACAGTAGAATCCGATACAATGACCTCAAAATTTGAAGTATATCTTCAAATTTTGATATTTCTAAAAATAAATGAATCTCCCATTACAACAACTTTCAAATGGGAAGTTAAAGATACGAGATGCTTTGATAAAAAAAAGTTACAGTGTTAAAACAGAATATAATATTGTTATACTTCAATTACATTCACATTAAAAATATTATATGAATCTTCTTACCATCTCATTTGACATTCGGTTTTCATATGAAAAATTTAAACTGACATTCGAAGGTCCTTTGGATAGGCAAATTCCCAATACATTGTCAGATGGCACCACGTGTCCACATTTAACAACATTCACTCGTTCCGCTTCAAGTGCGTTATTTGTTAATAAAGCTTGAAACTCACTGATTGGCTCCATGGTTCCACCTGCCACTATTACCTGAAGCAAAGTTTTTTTTTAATGAGTCACTAATGAGCTAACAATTTATGTGATGGTAATAGGCTACTGCAGCCTATGAACACACTCCAAGCAATCTAATTTAAACAAGGAAGTTTATAATTCTTTCGAACTTTATAATTCTTGTTGGGAGAAGAGGCAATGTAAAAAAATGAATTATTAAAATATATTAATTACCTAATTACTTTAAATACATATTAAATTATAACATATTATTAAATACATATTGTACATAACATTATGTTGTTTACATTGCCTTACATAAGGATTTGGCCACAGGAAACAACAATACAATTTTAATAATAGAATTAATTTCATAGGCATAAATAATTTAATAAAGAAATTTTTGACTACAGATAGTTAATCCTGTCCAAATATAATTTAAGACAGATAGCAAATAAGCTATCATATTATATATATATTATAAACTTAGCCAAAGAGTTGGCTACCCAGACTTCTGCTTATATTGAGCATCATAATGAATTGACATGCAATTTGGATTCAATATCAAGTAATTTAAATTAGGAAATGGGACGATAGAGTTAATCTCTAGTAGTTATAATACCTAATTTAAATAATTTAGAATGTAGTTTACAAATCCTTAATAATTGTAATTGTATGACTCCACACACACACTTTAATACTAGTATCAAATCTGGTGTTTCCTGATTTAATGAAGTAACGTTTATTTAAATCTTACATAGTAAAGTAACATTTATTTAAATCTGGTAATACATTGGACCCCGCCAATGCTACATCAATTTCTGTACTGCCAACACTCACTAAAGTTTTTTAAATTAATTATTTCATATTTAAGAAACAGAACGCAATAAGTTGTCATTAATACTTCCTGGTCGATAGTACAAATAGGCGTGCCTCAGGGCTGAATTCTCGGCCCCTTTATGTTTCTAGCATATATTAATGACTTACCTTACATAGTAGGGGATAACCATGATATAGTATTATTTGCTGATGACACTTCATTAATTTTCAAATCGAAACAACAGTTACTAAATTATGACGATGTAAATAATGCTATATCTAAATTACTAAATTGCTTTGATGTTAGTAATTTGGATTTAAATGGTACTAAAAATAAATGTATGAAATTCATAACTACGAATGTCAAACATTTTAATACTGATGTAATTTTAAATGGGGAGGAGCTGAGTCATGTCGATACAATTATTCTTGGAATCACACAACGCAAAGCTTCAATGGGGTCCCTATATATCAAAACTAGCAAGCATACTTTTGTTCTGTAGCATTTGTAAAAAATATTAGAAGTCTTACCAGTGTTGAAACAGCTAGATTAGTTTACTTTAGTTATTTCCATAGCATAATGTCGTATGGTATTTTGCTATGGGGACACGCGCCTGACACTGAAATTATGTTTCTTTTACAGAAGAGGAACATTAGAGTAATCTACAATTTAAAACCTAAAGAGTCGCACAGACAAAAATTTAAGGAAATGAATATATTAATTTTGGCCTCTCAATACACGTATAAAAATATAAAATAAGTGGTATTCATTCTGTAAATACTAGGAACAGACACCAACTAGTAGTAGTACCAGTTACTCGACTCCACCGAGTCAGTAATTCATTCTTGGGACAATGTTAACAACAAAATCCCAGAAAATATACAAGAATTTGACCTACACAAAGTTCAATAACTTTATTAGTTTGTATAAAAAGGGTTATTACAATATCAAGGAATTTATGGATGATAATAACCCCTAAGAAGGATGATCACTTCCAAGCTGTTTCTAATTTGTTATGTGTTGTTAATTGTAACACACATGATTGTAAGCTGTTATTTTTTTTAAAGTCGCACTGGGTTTCTTGCGGGTTCTTCCCAGGACAGACTTTTTTTTCGAACAAGTGATAAATTTAAAAAAGTGACTTTCAATAAGCATTATTCTATATTGAATAAAAAAGTTTCTGTTTCTGAAGGCCACAGATGCGATGTCGATGCGATGTAGGACTGACATCACTTTTAAATATACTGGCTCTTGCGTAAAGTGTGATATAAATAAATAAAAAGAAAGTCTGTTGATGAATATGAAAGTGCATTTTGCTACAGTATTTCATTAAACAAATCAGAAGAACAGGGAACGCTTTCGCACAGATCCATGGTCCAACAAAGCCGACCGCCATATGCCAGCCCCTCCACTGAAGATGACTCCCCCCCCCTTCTCAGGAATGTAACGGTCTCCCTCGAGTCCGATATGCGTAGGCCATGGGGCTAGGAAAAACGAGCACTCGGAAGCGCTATCCTTCCTGACGTCAACTCGAACAAAAACGAAAATTATTAAGTCGTAGGAGTAGACTTAGCGGTTATCGGATATCATATTTTATTGGAATGGGTCATAATATCATTGCCTCAAAATCCACCCAATTCGACATTAATTTTGATTATAACATCTGTCACTGAATATAGTGTCGTGTGTGTAACACAGACGTATCCCTACGTTTACGAAGCTAAAGCAGATGGCGTGTATGTAAAAAAACAAGTTTTTAATTTTTGTGTATGTGCAGATTGGGTAGGCAGAACTACAAAATGCTATGTACGATTGTTATAAAAATAAAATTTATATTTGTTGGCGTAAACTATTTAATTGATTTATAACTTTGGGAAATAAATTATGTCAACACTGATTACAATATAACGCAGTTTTATTTTATTACATTACACTATTGAATTTTTTATCAAAACAGAAGTACCTATTTGAAGCAACATAATTATACTGATACATGCCTATTCACTCAAAACTAATAACACTGATGATTTGTAACAGTATCAATTATTACAGATAATTAGACATTGCATAACCAACACGTAAGAAACCACAATTCATAAACAAGAGATAACAACAAATCTATAACAGAATTTATTTTGTGATAATAACCAGGAAGTTTGAAAATAATATTTCCTAATTTCGAAGCACTCAACAAAAGCTTTTAGTAAAACAAAAATATTAATCCTATACCTACGAGCAATTCTTGTATATACATATAATCGGAATCTCGGAAACGGCTCCAACGATTTTCATAAAATGTCGTTTTGTCCCCGTTTTCAGGCAATGAAAAACTGCTACAATATAAGAAGGTAAATTTTAACACTATAACAATGATCGTAATATCTCAAGTGGATAACGCACTGTCGCGAAATCGTAGTTCCCTGGTTCGCGTAGTATCTTAGGATTGACTTTTTTCCCTTTTTTTTCAAGTTCCCTTCTTTTGTGAGAAAATCTATTATTTCGAGCCCTTTTTTGTACTATTTTTTTAAAAATACGAAAATTTTATTGCACTCATGATTTTTCATTTCCAGTTCAGTTTTTTTCTATTATGTCGGTAAGATCAAAAAATATTCTTCATATTTTATCAGTATATATATTTTATATATATATATATATATTTTATATATATCAGTATATACATTTTAATCTAAATATAACTTCCAAAACACACGATTTCCAAAAAAAAAAATACCGAGAAATGCTCGGTCATCCAGGTACTATACAATATAATATGTACAAATCTTCCTTCAAATCTATATGAATAGGGTTGCGTTCGAAACACAAGATCTAGAACACTAAAATGTACAAAAATGTATTTATGTACATTTTAGTGTTCTAGATATCTTATCTTTTTATTTCAATGTTATCTTTATATTCCTGGTAGAATTGGCCGACGAATAAGAAAAATATAACTCAGATTAGAATAAGCTATTTATTTATAAACAATAAAGCACGGCACAGAAAAAAGGATTTTATGTAACTGAATTATGTTTGTTTCTGAACGCACCATAAGGTATGACGTAGTGACGAGTGAACTTGAGCTCTACAAAATATAACAAACTAATAATGTGTGTCCGTTTGAAACTGTTTGCAAAATGCGTAAAGGGTGTTTAATGTAACCCGGCAAAACCATATTTAGCAAATGTTTGCAAGTTTAATTTTGTGACTACTTTGGTAGTTTACCGATTTATAATAATTGTATTTATTTTTTGACCAAAAACATATTCAAACACATTCATATATGAAACACTGACACGTATGACGTAGGTAATCAGTATTGTGATGATATTGCAGAAAAATCACGGGCCAGCCTGCTGTTAATAATACTACCGAAAACATAACTGCGTTTTTAGAATAATTAATTACTATACCTACGATAAATTACAATATAGTCTCAAATATATACTAGAGAAATATTGCAATTCGATTTAATTAAAAATATACATACAAAATATGTATAATACACAAGAAATTCCGCGCGCAAATCACAGCGCGTGACAACCGAAATCAGAATATTATATTTTATAACAAGTCAAACAAGTGAAAGTACGTAAGTTTGGCAACGCTTTTGTTTCGTCAATTCAAGGTCAGGAATACGTTAGTACCGTAGACTTCTCTGTCTACGGTTACTACTCTTATCAGTTTGTTGTCAGGAAGGACGGCAACGTCGCTTTACCTACGACTTTTGGTATGCCACACAACGATAATAAGTAATAAAATTGTTTACAAAAAAACATAGGTGTCTAAAAGGTAGTCATTAGTTTTATGTTATTTTATACTGTTTTTTTAAAGGTTGGAAAGAAAATTAACCAATTATTGAACTTAAGGCCGAATGCGAAGAGAACTGGCGAAAATTAATGTATTTCTCTTGACTAGAACTTTGACCTGAAGTAATTCTAAGCTTTAAAACATTTTTGTAGGTTTGTTCGGGTCCTTCACAATGTCACCGTCATTTTAAAATTTTAAAATAAATGAATATACCAACAAATAAAAGAATGTTAAGAAATGATATATAAAATTATTGTTCTTCCAAAACTCTGTGAATTTTAATTTAGGAAAAATTCTTTTACGTAAAAATGTTTGTATTGTAATTCCGAAGGTACCTGCTATCTTTATTTTCGATACAAAATATTATTTATTAACATAATTCGTTTTAATTAAAAACACCTAATAATAATATCGTATATTGCCAGATAAAAGTTTGCCGTAATAAATTACCAGGCGCTTCGACGTGTGACGTAAGGTAACAACAGTCGATGTGTCTGTAGCGAAAATCGTTAATTTACTGTTTTATACGCGTTTAAGTGTCTATAAATGTAAATATGGGTAGGAAAAGAAATAAATGTTACCTAAGTGGTAAAACAAAGAGAGTTTATCGCATGAACGCTGCTCGAATGTTGTATTTTGAGGTTAATACTTATATTTAGTAAGGTAATTTTTTGTTTGAGGCTGCCTAATAGGTTGCATTTTTACTCATTTACATTAGCCAAACTGATCATTTATACTTTTCTAGTTTCAAGTGAGAAACACTAAAAATGTAAAATATCAAGACCCAGTCGGAAAAGAATGTACAGAGTAGTGCAAGCACAGAGACTGCAAATAATGTCAGTCAATGTATTGTCCGAAAGCATGGGGTAAAAGTACATAATTAAGAAAAACCGAAATACTTCGGATGTGAAGTGATTGACCAGTCGAAGTAGTCTTGTGAGAATTTACATACACAGTACCTATCCCCACTATGGGGCAATCACCGACTTTTTAGTCTTTTTTCCTTTTTTATTTATGCAATTTACATTACGGCATCTTGTAAGACTCACAAGAACAAACATTTTCAGTTATATGAGATTCTTTACGTACGATGCACCAATTAAGAAAAAAAAATCGTTATCAATTCAATAACTTTTCGAACAATATTTTATAACGAATAAAGTACAGAATTTATAATCAATTGGAACTAATATTATAAATAAGAAAAATTTATTTAAGAAGTATGCAATGCTCTCTGTGTTGTTCATTACTCTGCATCTGAGCTAGTTCAGTCAAATATAATCAAAGCCCGTACGGCTTTGATTATAGGTATTATACATGTCTATAATATAAACAAAGCGTAGGTACTCGCGGCGCGTGGTTTGCTGCGAAACTAGCAAGGGCATTCGCGTCGTATTTGGCCTTAAGATATTGATTTATCAGAATTATTTAAGATCACTTGGATGCCATCTAGCGTGCCAATGTTTAAACGTCGCCTTTCGTTTGCTTGTCAAAAGTCACGCACACTACTAAAGAAGTGTCAAATTTTTCCGGGATTTCACTATTGTTTTTCTCAGTATATAATGTAAGTTATTGCCTATAAAGGTCAGACGCGTACACATTTCATTGTAGAGAAGTGATAAAATGATTAGTTTTAAAGAAGTCTCTGTGTTTAGTGTATATTTTGGTTAAAAAATGTATGGGCGGACGGTCGAGACCTTAATGACGACTAAAAAATAAAAATGCTGCGGTCGCCAACACGCCAAGCGTGGCAACTACGGCAAATTCATAAGATTGTAGAAGTGGATTTTATACTGTAATATATTATGAATGAAGTGTCGGGAGGTAACGGGATTTAACCAGAACCGGTGTTTTTAAGCAACTATTAACTACAGCTGGACTTCGAAACCGCAGTGCACTTAAAACTCAAATTATATAGGATATTTACATGTTATACTTCTATAAATGTATTAATTATAGTTAATATTATTTAACTAAAGCAGGGTTGACTGAGGGGACATAGTCATTATGTCCCTTTGTGAAATATTTTACTCATTATGTATTCTTAAAAATAAATATAACAATAAATATAAATAAATAAATTCTCGACCTTTCGAGTACTCCTAACATTACTTTTAGACCCATACACAGACTGAGGTTTTCAACGTCTTTTCATAATTAAAATTCGATAAAATCTATTGAATGAAATTGGTTTTTACGGATTTTATATTGGATTTTATTTTATATTATTATTTTAGACCACCTATAGTCATGGATGTGCTGTAAAATACTTCTATAAGAAATTTTATTCAATGTCTATGTGCATGGTCATTCACATCACATCGTCATACCTACTCCGGCTTTTATACTTACAGATCTGCACTGTGACACAACATCAGCAAAATGTTCCGCCGTGTTCAAAAGCAAATATTTTAGTTGAGCTGTACTGTCATTTCCCCTCTGCACTAGCACTCTGCCGTTCTCGCTACGGTCACACAGCATGTCCAGGAAGTCTAATAATGCATACAGTCCACTCCCAGCCGATGCCTCAGTTGGAACCTGAGAATAAATCAAGCAAAAATTTAATTGGTATTGCATCGCACATTCCCACCACTAAGTAACACATGATTTTTGTTTTTAACTTCCCGCTGTGAAAATCAATGATTATCAAAAAAATGGGGAAGTTATTGTTTTCACCCGTTTTTAAAAATCGAGTTCTCATCTGACTTCTACGTTTCGAGGTTCTAGGAAGCTATTCTGGCTATTTTTGCGATGATGTCCGCATGTTTGTATATCATACATTACATATGTGCGTGTGTATGTATGTATGTATATAAAAATGTTATAACTTTGTAACGGAGTGGTCGATCGGGTTTTCGGTAAAGAAAACCGTGAAAGAGCCTTGCTGAACTTAGATTTTCTGTGAATTTAGATCGAATCGTCACTGTTGATTCTAAGAAAACCTCAAAAATTCGAGTAGTTTTAATTTTCAAAAAGTAGTTTTCTTGGAATTACTTCGACACTGACATAGTTTTGATCAATTCTATAATCTAATCAGTTCATCTACTCAAAAAACGACGTCGATTGCTGTGAACCGTATCAAAATGTCAAATCTATCGTTTACGAAAGAAATCTCTAAAAAGGGTTTTTTCAAAATAACTTTAAAACTTTCTGTTAATTCATTTTTTTTTTTTTTGTATTAAGTTCTTTTTATTAAAGTGAAAAAATTGCGTGGATTGCCGTAAACAACATCAAAATTAGTTGATTTGTTCGTGAAATGTTCAATTTCGAAAAAAAAAGTCTCGAGCTCAAAAACTTCCTAATAAGTGGAATTTGGAGAACTTTGATATTTAAATTAGCGGGAAGTTCCAGGGAAGGCCTGCAGGGTCAATCAATTTTTTTTTTGAATATTTCATTACGTCAAAATCAACTATCATTTCCAAAAGCAATATCCATATTACAAAAGAAATTTGAAGAGCTCATTTAGCGGGTAAACATATAATTACACTAATAAATACACTAACAGCAATAATACGACACGTGTTTCGCCACTAAACCAACTAACCGAATCAAATAATTTTTTTGCACTTAATATTTGAAAATAACAGTATTTGCATAGTTTGCAGATTTACCTAATATTCCTTTTTAAATAACAAATCCTTTAAATTCATCTCACAATGTTGCCGACTAATTGTTTAAACAAAATGTAGACTACATCTTTATACATTGTTTATCAACTTTTTCCGTAGTATTGCCAAAATATTTCGTTAAATATTGAAAGACTACTCTGATGTTAAGATCCGTGGATTTATTCATTCATAATTGCACCTTATCTAGCTAACATTTTTAACAAGCAAGCATCAATTAAAAATTGCACAAGGATATAATAAATAAACATGGAATTTCAATATCAATATTTCTTTTGAGAAACGAAATTTTAATTTCTTAGGTTGAAAGCAAAGAGATTTCATTCGACATTCATTTTTCAAAACCTATATTACCATGAAAAAATGTTTAAAACTATACTAAGCTATACTAGTATAAGGACACAACTATAGGCTTACTTGTTTTACTTGCGTTTCTACACTTTTTTATATGCCCTCACCCACAATGAACCAATATTATGGTTTGTTTACACAAAACCTCATCATGCTACAGTGAACTGCTATCCTATAAAAAAGATAATTTCTGCTGTATAATAGTTACCTGAGGATTTGTATTCAAATTTTCATTTACTTCCTCATCAACTTTGTTATTCTGCTTCTTAGAAATGTTACTTATGAACTTTTCAAATGAACTTTTTTTATTGCTTGAACTCTTTTTGTTCTCCTCTTCGAGGACTTGTTGACTATATCGCATCGAAAAACCATGGAGTTTAGGGGCTAACCGCGTGTTTCTGCAGAACTCCACCAGAGGGCGCAGATTCAAATGGTCGATTTCGGCTTTTATAACAAAATCTTCGAGGGTGTATATTTTTGTGTCATCTTGTGCCTTTTCTGTTGGTGTTTTTAGTTTTACTATGCCTGTAAGGTTGTTTTAATAAACTATTATATGACCGTGTAAGCACATAATTGTTCGCTGAGACAATATGAGAAAGGTCCTAATTGGTTTCAAGTTATTATTACAACCAAAGCTTATATTAAGAGAACACTTTTGCAGAGCTAAATTTTATCAAATTTAAAGATGTAGAAATATGCGAAGGCCAATATGTCTCTAGGCATTTGTAGTACTGAATTACTTAAGAGCCCAGATATGGAGATTTTTTTTGGATAATGTTTTCTTAAATTTAGGCAAACACTACACATTGAATAAAACTATATTTACAGATTTTATCGCGTTAAATCCAGAGTCGTGATGATTTAAATAATAAAAAATAAGTTAAAATAGTTAATTAAACGCGACAAAATCCGTAATAATAGATGTATTCAATTTTTTTGGCTCTTAACTAACATAATATTAAATTAAATATGCGCCCTTCTGGTCTACATACAATTTTTCTAGAAAAGCTGAATATGTAATAAATTAACTCCGTCAAGTCATTCAGAAGTAACATATTATGCACCAACGATTATTCATCATCATTATCATTACAGCCCTTCACAAATCCACTGCTGAACTTAAGCCTTCCCCAAGTGAACCACAAAGTACGGTTCTGGACCACCTGCATCCATCGACCTTCTACATGTCTTACCAGGTCTCCTCAATCAACACTTCGCCTACCTTGAGAATCTTTTTTCCCTATCCGTTGTCAGTTTTTCAAGCGGCCCATTGCCACTTCAGCTTATTAATCCGTTGGGCTATGTCGGTCACTCTGGTTCTATTGCGAATATCCTCATTTCTAATGGTTTATAGAATAATTACACGCAGAGAATCCTTAAACATAGCCCTCTCCATAGCCCGCTGAGTGACCACGAGATTCCTTATACGGCCAGCAGTGAACGACCATGTCTCAGATCCATAAGTCATCACTGACAACACGCACTGATTGTACAATCTCGTTTTAGTTTTGAGGTATGCCTGATGAGATGTGTCGTAATTTCCCGAACGCTGCTCAGCCGAGTCGAATCCGTCGATTGACCTTTCAGTCGAAGTGGAGCTTACCTAGTCGGACTATTTGTCCCAAGTAAACATACTCTCTCTTCAACAACTTCGGGCTTAGTTCACCCAACAACTATCGGCATAGGTGTGAAATGGATATTACACATAATCTTTGTTTTCTCCATGTTCATCTAAAGACCTATCTATTAGGAGGCACTGTTGAGGTCATTGAGCATAGTACTTAGGTCCTCCAGCGATTCTGCCATAAGGACTATATCGTCGGCAAATAGAAGATGAGTAATGTACCTGCTATTGATGTCAATATTGTATCATTTCCAGTCCAGTAGCTTAAAAATGTCTTGCAGCAGTAAAGAGTTTCGGGGATATAAGGGGGTTTCGTACTCTGGTTCAGTACTCGGATAGTCAACTTGGCACCGATGAAGGGACACCGCCCAAATTTCGACACAATCAAAGGCTTTCTCTCCACATACGCAAGATATAGTGGCAGATTGTACTCCTTGGGCTTCTGGACAATTTGTCTAAGAGTTACTTAGGATAGTGCACCATAGAGGATGGATTTGAAGAGCTTCTGAAGGACTTCAAGTACCGTTTTTCCACCCGCTTTGGTCACAAAACCTGGTCCTGGGCCACCTGAATCCATTGACTTCAGGCCATCACATTATCGGGCGGGATTGACCTAACATGCGCTTGACACTGATCATTCAAAAACATTTCTTGCCTAGTTTCCTTAGTCTGGTTCATTAAGCTATGTGGCTAATGACTGTATTATAAATATTAACACACACATATCTAAATCTATTAACCAAAACTTAATACTCTCTTTTTCTTAAGGTCTATACCACAGCACGACTCTGGGCCTCTCTTGTTGTGGAGGATTTGGTTTAATTAAATTTAGGTGGTAAGACTTTTTCTGCCAAGGAGAGATACAACCGTCTTACCTATTTCTGCCGCTAAATAGCAGTTCTTGTACTGGTGTGTTCTGGTCTGCAGGGTATAGAGAACTATTATAAGTACAGGCAGTGAGGCGTTCTATCTTAGTCCACAGTCAATTACAGCCTTTTTGTTTAAAGTCGGTTGCAGATATCCCACAGTAGCCACATACCATCAGGTGGATTGTAGGTTCGTTTGTCACTTTTGTTTGAAAAAAAAAGAAGGTAACACTTAAGCAGAAGAAGGTAACACTTAAGACTTGGGGTCACAGTACCAGCTGTTTCTCACCTTTGTCAGAATAAAACAAATTAACCCTATCGCTCGGCTACCAATCTAATCAGATCGTACAATACCTACCTTACGCCCGCTCTAGTACGGGGCTAATTAGATCAGATAATATCAGAAGTACTGCCTTATGAAAAAACTACTTTTTCCTTTAAAACAAAACCAAAGACAATATGCAATAGATAATAGTATCAAAGACAAAGATATGCTCTTTTATTTTAAACCATAACCTGGCAATGTTTCTTAGAAAAAAAAAAAGAAATCACTCTAAACTTTCGGCGTTCCACGTGCCGTTTTGATAAATGTGCTCCGTCTTTTTTATAGAATTTTATATTTGTGTCTGGACTAAAAACGAAAGTATTATACTTTTTTATATTCCTTGTAATATAGTGAACACATATATATATAATTTGTGGTATAAAAAGTGAAAAGTAAATTGCCAAAAGTGCTTCAAAATCTGGAAGGCCAATTATGGCGGCTGGGTCATAAATGTGGTATTTTTCACATTCTCATTTATTTTTAGTGTAAAATGTAAGTAAAAATAGTTTTCTTACATATTTCAAATAACTTGACGTTGTATTTATTTCAAATTCACACAAAACTATTTTAGAAATATTGTTCTAAATGTCACACAGATAAAATATTAATATTTAATTTTTTTTAATTTCTTTATATTTTATATTTTGGTATGAGTAACGAATGGAAACACATAAAACATAAAAATATACATATTTCCAAACAATTTGATATAAATTTCTCCAAAAACAAAAGTGTAGAATTCAAATTAGTAGTAATTTTGTCACTAAAATTGAAGTATATATCACTATACAGCTATACAGGGTAATTTACGTATTTTATTACAATTTCTAGCAACCAAAAATAATTTTATTCGATAGTTTATACATTCAACAAGAAATCCTGTAAGTTTTATCCATAAATATTGTCTCAAAGTGAAAATATAGCAAAATTTGCAATATAGCAAAAAATTTGCTAATTTGCAAATTTTCCCGCCATTACGGTCCCGAGCGAACGGGAGTATAACATGTCGCGCGCTGTCAGAGCGAAGGGGTTAAGTATTTTAAGTAACTTTTACTTACCTAAAAGTTTTGCAATAACAAAACACATTTGATTCAGCATTAAGAGGTTTCTGCTGGTTAATCTCTCTCTATATTTGTTAATATAAAAATCTAGGTAAGTCTTCACAGAAGACAGTTGTTTGTACGAAACAGGTGCTGAATGAGCATTTTCTAATGCTGCACTGAGGCCATGGGCTTCATCAAGTATAAGCACATTATCCTTCAGCTTTAGGGAGAATCCTGATCTTGCACCAGAATTGACTATACCAGCATGACTTATAAGAACAACCTAGAATATAAATTGATAAATGTTATTTAACAATGAATATAAAAACAGTTTTCTTTTAAAATATAGTGTACTATATAAAAACAAACTACTAGCTGTGCCCAGCATGTGTCAGCCTTTTTTGCTACAAACTATAAATAGATATATAGGTTACAGTCACACAATTTAATTTTAATTGAAAGTTTCTTGAGTGACAGTCTTGTATCAGTATGCAAAGTGTATGGCGGCCCCGCCCTAATAGAGCAACAATTTATAGGTCTATTTACTAACTTCATTGACCAATATTACCAATATAAGAGTCACTTTGTGGTACATTGCGTATTCTACATAGTTTTTCTGAAGAACTGCCATGGCTCATAAAACATACGACACAATGTACTACAACGTGATTATCATTTTGATGTTAACAAAGTAAGTGATTAGACCTGAACATAAGACATGCAGGAAGCTGTTGGGTGATGTGGCTCAGTAATGTGCTTTGTCGATTTTCGTACCTTAGGGGAAGCCTACATTTAGCAGTAGAATAGAGATGGGTTATAATGGTGGTGATGATGACAATATATCTGGTTGAAACTTTTAGCTAAAGCTCTACCAATTTTGATCTTAACCTTATTATTGCTGAAAGCGTGATTAAAAACCACTTTCGTACTCTAATAATATATAAATAATAATATGTTATAACATTATAACTTATTATTATTTACAAAATTAAAGGTTTTTAATGTATAAAATTTAATTTAAAATAGAGCCGTGGTAGCTCAGTGGTTAACGCTCGCTGTAAATATAACAGAACGCGAGTAACCCGGGTTCGATCCCCGCCGGCACCACTGAAATTGTTAATTGCAATTTTAAGTGCTGATTTACCACGTGCTCGGCGGTGAAGGAAAACATCGTGAGGAAACCTGCATGTCTGAGAAATAAGAAGAAAAATATTTCAGACATGTGAAGTTCGTCAACACGCATTTGGGCAGCGCGGCGGACACTTCCTTGCCCTAAACCCTCTCAGAAATGAGGGGAGGCCTGAGCCCAGCAGTGGGATGTATATAGGCTGTAACTTTACTACTTTACTTTACTTTAATGTATAAAAAAATAATTCAACATACCTGAGCATCTTCCAAAGCCATCCTAGAAGCATAGTAAGGACATGCCTTCATATCTTTACCACATTTAACTAAATCCTCCATATCCATTATATCAATTAGCAGTCTTTCTTTTAGTTTTAGTATATTGTTCTGATTATAATATGGGCATGCTGAACATGACTTTGTCTTCGTCCTCTTTAGAACCTTGCCCTCATCACCTATTGATGTAGGTTTTGTTTTAGATTTCTGCATGTCCAAACATCTAGAAAAGTTGACAAAATTATTATCATTAAAATATTAACATAATAAAATTTAGTCAATTATAAATTTGCAAATATGTGCTCTTACTGTGAGATGTTTAATACACATTTATTCCACCTCGTTAATGGGTGTCGTAAGAGGCGACTTATTGAGAAGGGAGGGCTGATCCTGACTGCGTGCGTGCAAAAGTGCGTAGGTGCATACGTGCGTTTGTTCGTAGTTGTACGTCTTCTAGTGAGTCTTCCTAATAACGACAAAAATAAAAAACTGCTACTGCCAACCCGGTTGCCAAGCGTGGCAACTATGGCAAACATCTCACCTATGAAGCAATCTTCAAGAGGCTGTAACGGTAACGGTGCGTAGATACTTGCGTACGTGCGTAGTTACGTACATGCGGCCGTGTGTGTTTATGTGTACGCGCACGCGCGCATGATTGATTTAGTGAGTACGTGCATGCGTGCGTTGTTACGTGCATACGTTCGAAGTTAAGTGCATGCGTGCATTGTTACGTGCATGCATACGATGTTACGTAGATGCGTGCGTGCCTGCGTGTTAGCGTGCGTGCGTGGTACGTGTGGGCGTGTGTGCATTCGTGTGTGCGTGCATGTGCGCATATGCGAGTGTGCATATGGAGTGCGTGCATGCGTGCGTGCGTTAGTCTGTGCGTGCGTACTTTTGTGCATTCATGTGGACTTACGCGAGTGCGAGCATGCAATGTTGCGTATATGTGAACTAGACTGTTTCAAGAAAGAAGTACTCGGGAAAATATGGAAACTAAAATGAGGAATTTGACAGCAGCAATCGCGCGAAGACTAGCGCCGAAGATTAGAGGACTGCTTTCATAACAGACTCTTCCTTAAAGAGTATCAACCACGTTTTTAGTAAGGCGGGTTTCTTCTTTGTTGTCGAATTCCGTACTTTTCAAATATTTTCTAAGACTTCTTCATTAAAACTGACAGTTTAAACCTGAGAACCAGCATTTATATTCCTATATAGATAACCTCCTTTAAGTAATGAAACAAATAATGCAAAGCTCATTAGTAAATCAAACATTTAACTAACCTTTCATTTATTAAATTAACATTTTTCAGTCTTGTTACCTCAGAATTAATACAGTAATGCTGACGAGAGGCAAGAGTGACTACCCTTGTGTCTTCCTTGAATACTGTTCTATTGATTTCCCCAATAAATTGAGACAATTGGCTGTGAGTTCTGCTGCTTATATAAATCTGTAATTTAAAATATATTAAGTTTATAGAAGAAAATTAACATTTTTTAAGTCAGTGCAAATGCTAATGGTAAGTGGGGCAGTGGCGAAGCTATGGCTCCAAATTAGGGCAAGCCCAATATATGGTTTTGTTATTTTTAGTAATTTTATAAAAACACACCAATCTTGATCTGTCTCCACTCTTCAGTTTCATGTTCAGTGCTGCAATTGCATACCTTTAGTGGCTTTCAAAAAAGTCGTTTTGGTATGCTTGAGCGAAATAAAAAGATATTCACATACAAAACATAACATATACATGAACAAAGTACAAACAATGTACAAAATTAAAAAAACAAATTTTTTATATTCTAAATTGAATAGTATCTCTTTCTTAAGGAAAGATTTGATTATGTTCGCGTAAAATATTGGTGAACATTTTAACTGTACCAATAACTGCTTTTCAGTTGCGATAATTTATAAGTCCGAAAGACGCTCTTGACCTTGTGTATATTCTCAAAAAAGTTTAAAGATTTTATCTTTTCCTCGCCGATTAGCACTTTAACACACTTCAATTCATCACAAGGAACACTATTATCCTCCATTTTCACTAAAAATCTTTGAAAAAGCATAAATTTTTAACAGACAACAAAAATAAACATAAACATTGAAATGTGAAGTAAACTTGCAAACGTATCGCCCGCGCATTCGGAAACAACTTCAGAGCAAAGCCCAGCTTTTATTTCCATAGTAATTACTATATAAACATTTCGTAGTTGTATTTCATTATGGAACATTTTGCCACAGGTTAGAAGGGAGCGATCGTCTTCTCGAAAGCCCGGTAAAAGCCAACGCGTGTGAGAAAGACGACTAATCGCTCAAATCAACTTTTTGAAGGTCCATTGCGTGTTCGCTTTGAGACAGAGAGAACACGAATCAGTGTATTTCGAATTGAAAGCAAACTGCCAAATGTTGACATTACATATATGCTACGAGGTCGTGACCTGTGTAGAACAGAGGAGCGCGCGGGAAATTTGAAATAGTTTGAAACAGTTTACGAGTTATTTTATTAGTTGATATTATTGAGTGACCAGATTGAAAGGGCAAGCCTGGCTTTTCGGCTTCTACAGAGGCTTCGCCACTGAAGTGGGGGTAGTAGACAAAAATGGTCGGGAGCACTGGCTTAGCTTAAGAGCCTCTAGACACTTGAATGAGAAAACTTGGAAAGAGATAAGATACCAAATTATTACAAACAAAGAAACAAAGTTTGGTTCCAAGTTCTCTCTCCAATATGTTAATAACAAAGGGGTTGTATGATGATGTAACGGGAAAAGGGGGAATCTATTCATTTTATTCTAGTCTACTCTCAAAAACGATAACATAGGCTACCTACAATGTGCATGCATACAACTTATATTTGTGGCAGTTAGGGAGAGTTGAAGTGGAAGGAGACAAAGACTTTCCTATATAACTTTAAGGTGTGCTGTAATATTGGTGACTTCCTGATAGCACTATGTTGAATATTCTTAAGTCATGCAATTGAATTGAGTCACGTCATGCTGTTATATGCTTTAGCAAGTGGTGTTGTATGTTAGGTGACTTCCTGGTGCCATGTAAGATATTGGTAGCCATTTATGTTTCTCACAAAACTGGCAAAATTGTTTTTTTTTCAAGTTGCATGTTGACTGGGAATTAAATTTTGTGAAAATATTAATATTCAATATATAATGTGTTAAATGTCAATATATTCTCTATAACATATATATTACAAAATTTTTGATGATAATGATTAACCCTTCAATCCCCATAAAGTCCAATCCGGTCGCATGAGTCCGGCAAATCCCGAGCGGTCGCATGTGACCGCGCCCACCCACAGCACTTTAAACCATTAAAACTTATTTTTAGAGACTACTTTTATATGAAGAAAGTTGTCATTATAAAATCTATACAAAATTCTCTATCTCTGTGGTCTAAACAAGTCAGGTTTTACTTTATTACAAAAAGATTTTATGGTATTTTGATAACAAAAAAAGGCAGCGTGAAAATCACAATTATTTCTATATATTACTCGAAATTATTTATGTAAAAAGATAAATTATATTCACACAAAAACCTTTATTACAATTTTATAATAAAACACTATACTAAAACACTAATAAAATACTAGAATAATCCAAAACTCAACACAATAACATTCATACAAAAATGGTGTACAAAATGAACATAGATAATAAATAAATATCCATAAACTAAGTGACTTTTTATTCCACTTGAGGATAGAAACTTCTTCATAGAAAAGTAGTCTCTAAACATAAGTATTTATGGGTTAAATTGCTGTGGATGGGTGCGGTGACATTTGACCTCTTGAATTTTGATGGAATATTGAAGTGGTCAAATCTGGATGCTTGCCGTTTGAGAGTTTAATAAAAAATAGGGTAATATTTACAAAAAAATCGAAAAGAATTTAATTACTATACTAAGTATCTTATTACATACCTTTATTGTACTGTCATATTCATCCTTTGTATCATTTTCAAACTCCTCATCATCAGAATCATCCTTCTTATCACTTAAATTAACAATCAAGTCATCATCCTCATTTCCTTCATCTTCTGGAATGTTTTCTTTATTGTGACCAGGTTCCTTGTCAAGTTTATCAGCATTTTGATAGTAGCTTTCATTTGTTTTCTGGTTGACATTATTTTTAAATTTTGTTACTCTATTTTTCATTTGTTTAAAAAATTCATCTTGTTTTCTAATTTTATCTAATTTATACTGCAATGCTGTTAATGTTTGAATCTTCCTAATTTTGTTGTATTCTGCTTCTAGCCAGTCACCTGAATCTGTAATAAAAAATTTGGCTTGACAGTATTCTGATTATACTACTAATAACTCAGGTAAGTACAATGTCACCATAATATATATATATATATATATATATATATATATATATATATATATATATATATATATATTACAAAAAGTGCCTACTAATAAGATAAACATCAGAGACTGCATATTTTTAACTAGTTATTCTTAGACTTCACCCAAGGAGAATTTATTATGATTGGATTTCATGACTGAATATTTTTGTGCAAATCCCTAATTGTCTTTTCTAAAATTAAAATAGCCTATCTGAGAGTGAGAGTCCCATCAAAATAGGTCCAACCGTTTCGGAAATTAGCAAGAACAATGAGCCAAAAATTTGATAACTTTTTTGTTATTAGTATTGTATATACTTCTTTTTTATATTTCATATTCATTGAGTAAAAAGCTGTTATTTTGACATTATAGAGACACTTCATATAGATGTACAGATGACAATGTAGCAAATTATGGTGTAACTTGACTAGGGTATCTGTTCGCGACGGCCTAACAACCTTAAGAAACAAAGTGATAAAGAATATTGTTTTATGTATTAATAGTGAAATTACCAAGAAAACTGAGTGAAAACGTGTATTAATATAGTTGTTTAACATATTTATAACTCTTAGTATGTTTGTATAGAATGTCGTTTTGATAACAAGTAATATAAACAACTTTTATTATATACCAAAAAATCGACCAATCACAGCGCGTCTTATCGTAGAACTCTCTAGAAGTTTTTTAATTAACTGCGTAATAGTTTATACCAAAAATAATGAAAATAATTTTATGTTCTAAAAGAGTTATAAATATGACATTTAATTAGCATATGGCTTATAGATTAAAGAAGTATAGGAATATTTTTTTATAATTAAACGCATTTCGTAGTTATAGAAAAATTAAAGAATTAAAATGCCCAAATATTATGAAAATTTGGGACATTTCGTTTAATAACTTTTTACAATGTTAATGTTTTTAGTAACCTTTATGATATAATAATAAAGTACCAGACTACCGATTTAATGATGTATAGCATGTTAGTGTAGCAATTAGTTTTGTATAGAGAATATTGCAATTTATGCCATTTGTATAGTGAAATGTTTATGCAATAAAGAGGCAAAACGGAAAATGGCAAGCGGCTCACTGTAAAGTATTGCTAAAGTCTACCTTAGGGGCTCGGGACCCAGTACCAGTAGTAGTGTGAAGAACTACCAGTGACAAGTGAAGTGAAGTGAGTGGTATCCGGTGGTAGCTGAAGTGACTAGTAGCAGTATATAGTGAATAGTGAAAGTGTTACCTAGCCGAAAAAGGTCGTAACTGACATTCGCAGTTACAAATAGTGAAAGTGTTACCTAACCTAAAAAGGTCGTAACTGATATTCGCAGTTACATATAGTGAAAGTGTTAGCTAGCCGAAAAAAGGTCGTAACTGATATTCGCAGTTACATATAGTGAAAGTGGTAACTGATATCCGCAGTTACACAAGTGATAAAATCAGCTAGTTTAGTTGATAATAGCTGCTAGTCAGTAGTGTTAGAAAACCAGCTACTACCAATAGATATTTGATACCACCGTACAATTTAAAGAAATCTTTTGAAATATACAGTGAACAACCGTAGTTTAACAACCGTGATAAATAGTTATAAAATTTCGCGACTAATCAATCAGTCGAACCGCTGGCCACTACCTTGCTATTTGTATTTGTTAATCGTGCATTTTGATTTTAACTACAGTCCACAATATTTCAGCGGCACCAACAAAGACGGCGGTGAGAGTACCCACCGGAACCTATAGGTGTAGGACGTGAGCGACTCGCGAAGTATCTTCGACAACATTTACTCCGGAGAGTTTCGCCCGTCCGGCACATTCGTTGGTCCTTCGAGCCGGATATATCCGTTTGTATTTCGGAACCGGGTAAATAGTCACCACCGTATTAAAACCGCAGAATTTTCAGATTCAAGATGCCGATCACCCGTTCGCAAGGAAGGGCAGCCAAGGCGTGGACCGTCGGTCTGGAAGGAGGTTCGTCGGCCAGTAACGCCGCCGTCCACCACCAGATGCCACCACGCTCACCGTCAACGGTAGAGGGCGCTGAGGCGCCATGCTGCCCCCCCCCGAGGGGGGATACCTCTGCCCGCGCCGTCCACTACGGCCCGCACAACGAAGCAGAGGGAACATCTAGAAGGCAACGATGACTTTAGCCGTGCATCATCGCCACCAGCCCGGGAAGACACCCACATCGTAGAGCCACCGAGGGGCCACACCGATTGTAGTACGAAGTCAAAGAAGACTGTTCGGCCCAATAGAAGAATTTTGAAGGCTCGTGAAGAAGTATTGAAGATCAAACTAGAACTTGCGCAGATCTCCTTACAGATGGCTGAAGAAGAAGACGAATCAGACGACTATGATGAAGATGGTCACTCCAAAAGTGAGTACGTTCGATCTTGGCTCGAAAACTCTGTAGCCAAACAAAAGTCAAATCAAGGCGCAATCACCGGAGGGAAGGCACCATTTAATAAAACCGTCACAAAGCCGACCCCGGACGTTGTCGACCTCAGTGAGCCCCAAAAGGAGCTCACGAACCAGGATTCCTATCCAGAAGATGCACAAAAGCATCCCATGCCACAGAAGCTCAGCCAGGAACCCACCGTTGATGAAGACAGGGGGCTCCTACCGATTGTATCAGAGCTCGCAAACCAGGATTCCTATCCAGAAGATGTACAAAAGGATCCCAATCCAAAGAAACCTAGCCAGGAACCTGTCATAAGTGAAGACAGGGGGCTCCGTCCATTTATATCGGAGCTCACATCCGCTATAGCCGCGCTCGCTGACAAACCAAAGTTAGAGAGTGCGCCACTATCGTCGCATACTTTCGCAGCGTCGAAAGCTATAATGACACTGCCAAGCTTTAGCGGAGCACATACCGAGTGGCTTTCATTCCGTGCCATTTACGAAACAACCCGAGGCTACTTCAATGATATTGAAAACACTGCTAGACTAAGACGAAGTCTACAAGGAAGAGCCTTGGAAACAGTCAGTTCAGAACTCATCGGGCATGCTAAGCCAGATGAGATTATGCGAGAACTGGAGCTACAATTTGGGCGTCCAGATTCAATCGCGCAAGCAGAAACCGAGAAGTTACGAGGATTAGCACGCTGTACAGAAGCGCCCAGAGACATCTGCACATTCGCGAGCAAAGTGAGGGGAAGCGTCGTCACTCTTAGAGCCCTAAAGCGAGATCATTACCTCGTCAACGCAGAGCTGCTACGACACCTCACCGACAAACTGCCAAACTCTATACGTGCCCAGTGGTATAGAATTTACACCGAAAAATATGACTCTAGACCAGACCTCGGCTGCTTCAGCGAGTTTATTACCGAGCAAGCTCGCTTCTGCAGTGCATTTGCGCCTCCAGAAATTATAAACGAAGCACAAAGCAACCGTTCAGTACATAGAGCACACGCGGCTACTACTAAGCCGTCTCCGAAATGCAGAGTGTGCGAAAAGGAGGGTCACTACGGATCTGAATGTAAAAAATTTAAGGAAGCAGATACCAACAAAAGATGGGAACTCGCAAAGCAAAATAATTTATGTTTCCGCTGTTTACGTTATCGAAATCAGACACACAAATGCAAAACCAATAAGTGTGGAATAAAAGGATGCACCGCGACACACAATCGACTTCTCCATAACAATACAAAGGAGAAGACTGAGGTCAAACAAAAAGAACCTCAAGAAACTGTTGCTAACTCATTCGCTGTGTCAAAGCATCAAGCCTATTTAAAAATAATTCCAGTGCGAGTAATTGGACCGGCGGGAGCTGTAAATACACACGCCCTGCTGGATGATGGGTCAACAGTTTCACTAATGGATGAAGAGATTGCCAAACAAATTGGAGCTACAGGGCGGTTGGACCCGTTTAAGATCACCGCTATCGGGAACACTACCCTCGATTCACCGGAATCTCGAAGAATCAAAGTATCGCTGAAGAGTCTCCACAGCAAAAGGGTGCCATTCAGAGCACGCACGGTTGAAAGCCTAAACTTGGGGCCACAGACTGTGCGTGCAGTAGACATAGCCAAGTGCAAACACTTGAAAGACCTAAAGGAGCAGCTAACATATGACTCCGGCAACCCAAGGATCCTAATAGGACAGGACAATTGGAGACTTCTGATAGCCACTCAAATCCGAAGAGGTCCGCCGCACCAGCCAATTGCCTCGCTCACAGAATTAGGATGGGTGCTACACGGGGCACACACTAAAGCCCCGTATCAGCGCGTCCACGCGGCCAATGAGCTGCACAAGAGCGAGGTTACTATAGATGACCAACTCCGCGAATATTTCGCGCTGGAATCTCTCATTATCAATCCGAGAAGACCAGACTCCGACCCAGAGAAGAAAGCTGAAGATATACTAAATAGCAGCACCCGTCAGTTACAAGACGGGCACATAGAAACAGCGCTTCTCTGGAAGAAAAAGGATATCGAGATGCCTGGCAATTATGAAACAGCAATAAAACGGCTCGTTTCCATTGAAAGAAAATTAGATCGAGACGAAGATCTAAAAAGGAAATATGATGAACAAATGAATTCCCTAGTACAAAAGGGATACGCTGAGATAGCACCGAAAACTAGCACACCGGGAAGAACATGGTACCTACCCCATTTCGACGTCCATAACCCAATGAAGCCAGAGAAGTTTCGAATAGTACACGATGCCGCAGCCAAAACAAAGGGGGGTGTCATTGAACGACTTCCTGCTCACGGGTCCAGACCTACTGCAATCATTACCAGGGGTCATGATGCGTTTTCGCCGCCATAAAATCGCTGTCTCCGCGGACATAGCCGAAATGTTCATGCAGGTTAAAGTCAGACCTGAAGACAGAGATGCCTTAAGATATCTCTGGAGAGGGGATCGACGTAATGAAGCTCCACAGGAATATAGAATGACGTCGATCATTTTCGGTGCAGCCAGTTCACCCTGCACAGCCATATTCGCGAAAAACTGGAACGCTAAAAAACACATAGACAAGTATCCAGAAGCCGTAGAAGCTATCATTCAAAACCACTATATGGATGACTATCTCGACAGTTTCCAGTCTCTGGAAGAGGCAATGCGAATATCGAAGGAAGTACGCGACATACACAAAAACGCGCACTTCACCTTAAGAAAATGGGTTTTCAACGCACCAGAAGTTGTAAAAGAATTAGAACCTGACCATGAAGCATCTGAGTCAGTCGATCTGGGAAACAAAGGAACCGAGGAAAAGATACTCGGATTAATTTGGAAACCGGGTACCGATCAGCTGAGCTTCAACCTAAAGCTCGCTCGACTTCCAATCAATTTGCTGCATAAAACACCAACCAAAAGGGAAGCACTCAAAATAGCAATGTCGCTGTATGACCCGCTCGGCCTCGCCTCCCCAGTTACAATTCGAGCAAAGCAAATATTGCAGGAAGCATGGAGACGAGGAACAGACTGGGACCAGGAGTTGGACGAAGACCTGACTAAACAATGGTCCACATGGATCCAACACCTGGAACAGCTCAAATCAGTAAGCATCCCAAGATGCTACCCGGGCTTCAGCGACGCACGTTCACTCCAAGTCCACGTGTTCACCGATGCCAGTGAGAGCGCCTACGCAACGGCAGTCTACTGGAGATCAACGACACCCGATGGGACAGTACATGTGAGCCTCATCATGGCTAAGGCGAAGGTAGCTCCGCTGAAAGTAACGTCCATACCTCGCCTCGAGTTACAAGCCGCCGTGATGGGAAGCCGCGTAGCTGCCGCCGTTATCCAGGCACATTGCGTGACGCCCGAAGCCGTCACATATTGGACTGACAGTAAAACTGTCCTCACGTGGATAAAAAAGGGCTCCAGGAGTTACAAACCTTTCGTTGCCCACCGAATAGCAGCAATCGAGGAACATAGTAAAGTAGAGGACTGGCGTTGGGTACCTACCAAATTGAATATAGCTGAAATTGCCACGAGGGACGTACCACCGAACTTCTACTCCAATCACGAGTGGTACAACGGCCCATCATTTCTGTATAAAGAACCGTCAGAATGGCCAACCGAAAGACCCACGTCATCCGAACCTACAGGTGAGGAAAGATCCCTCACCATTAAGGAATCTCATCAAGCTCCGATACTCCGAGAAGCTGTTCCCGATCCAGCAAGGTTTTCGAGATGGGAACGCTTATTACGAGCTACGGCTAGAGTACTATAATTTATAACACTCTGCCGCAAAACTACAGACAGGACCTTCTATAAAAGAACCAAAAAGGGCAAAGAGGAAGATCCCGACTGGAGGAAATCGAATAATAATCCGTGACAAATCGCGCAGCCTCCCAATCAAGTGAAAAATATAGATGTCAAAAGGTACATCACACTAGAGGCCGAATTCATCAGAGAGGCCGAAAAGCTCCTGATACGTTCCATACAGGAGGGCTCCTTCTCACAAGAGATAACTGATCTCCGTAATAATAAAAAGGTCGCTCATGATAGCCGCCTACGACCGCTCCAAATAGAATTAAAAGACGGGATCATCGCGCTACGAAGTCGCATAGCCGCCGTGAAGGGAGTCACAGAAGACATGAAGGGGCCAGCTATATTGGATGGTGATCATTACATCACGCAATTATATATTGACTGGACGCATCGTAGCCTACATCATTGCGGAACCGAACCTACCATCAACGAGGTTCGACAGCACTACTGGGTGATCCGACTTCGACCCACCACAAAAAAGATAGTGAGCCAATGCATACAGTGTCGCATCAGAAAAGCACAACCATCAGTGCCAGCGACCGGTGACCATCCTAGTACACGTCTCGCTCATCACCAGAGACCGTTCACCTTCACCGGTCTGGACTATTTTGGGCCACTTTCAGTCACTGTGGGACGTCAACATCAGAAAAGATACGTAGCTCTCTTCACCTGCCTCACATCCAGAGCTGTCCACTTAGAAGTTGTCGCAAACCTCAGCGCTGACTCCGCAATACTAGCATTAAGAAGATTCGCAGCTCGCCGAGGGTGCCCCACCGAGATTTACTCCGACAATGGCACCAACATGCACGGTGCAGACAAGGAACTTCGGGAGGCTTTTCGAGAAGAAGCCAGTAGACGAGGCATAGTGTGGCGTTTTATAACCCCCTCCGCGCCTTTCATGGGAGGAGTATGGGAACGTCTCATACGATGCGTGAAGACGGCACTATACACCGTCCTTCATGAGAGACATCCGCATGAGGAAGTATTAGCCACGCTGCTCTGCGAGGTGGAGTACACAGTAAATAGCAGACCATTGACTCACATCTCTGTAGACAGCAATGACGACGAATCCATCACTCCAAATCACTTCCTTTTAGGAGGATCTGCGAGACTGCCGACACCTGGAGTGTTTAATGAAAAGGATATGAATAGCAAAAGACACTGGCGACGCTCCCAGATACTCGCTGACATGTTCTGGCAGCGTTGGGTCCGAGAGTATTTACCGGAACTTCAAAACCGGCGGGAGGCCCATGGGCGAGGTCCCAATCTCCAGGTGGGCGATCCAGTCCTCATAGCTGACGGCCAGTTACCTCGTAACACCTGGCCACGAGGGAGGGTGGAAGCTGTTTACCCCGGTGCGGACGGACAGATCCGCACTGTGGAGGTACGCACAGCAAACGGCCTAATCAAGAGGCCAACCAGGAAACTCGTGCCGCTGCCGAAGTAGAAGCAACGTCGCTCACCGAAATGAATGCAGCGCCGCTGTGAGAAAATCGTCGCGACGCTGCACGGCGGGAGAAATGTTCGCGACGGCCTAACAACCTTAAGAAACAAAGTGATAAAGAATATTGTTTTATGTATTAATAGTGAAATTACCAAGAAAACTGAGTGAAAACGTGTATTAATATAGTTGTTTAACATATTTATAACTCTTAGTATGTTTGTATAGAATGTCGTTTTGATAACAAGTAATATAAACAACTTTTATTATATACCAAAAAATCGACCAATCACAGCGCGTCTTATCGTAGAACTCTAGAAGTTTTTTAATTAACTGCGTAATAGTTTATACCAAAAATAATGAAAATAATTTTATGTCCTAAAAGAGTTATAAATATGACATTTAATTAGCATATGGCTTATAGATTAAAGAAGTATAGGAATATTTTTTTATAATTAAACGCATTTCGTAGTTATAGAAAAATTAAAGAATTAAAATGCCCAAATATTATGAAAATTTGGGACATTTCGTTTAATAACTTTTTACAATGTTAATGTTTTTAGTAACCTTTATGATATAATAATAAAGTATCAGACTACCGATTTAATGATGTATAGCATGTTAGTGTAGCAATTAGTTTTGTATAGAGAATATTGCAATTTATGCCATTTGTATAGTGAAATGTTTATGCAATAAAGAGGCAAAACGGAAAATGGCAGCGGCTCACTGTAAAGTATTGCTAAAGTCTACCTTAGGGGCTCGGGACCCAGTACCAGTAGTAGTGTGAAGAACTACCAGTGACAAGTGAAGTGAAGTGAGTGGTATCCGGTGGTAGCTGAAGTGACTAGTAGCAGTATATAGTGAATAGTGAAAGTGTTACCTAGCCTAAAAAGGTCGTAACTGACATTCGCAGTTACACATAGTGAAAGTGTTACCTAGCCTAAAAAAGGTCGTAACTGATATTCGCAGTTACATATAGTGAAAGTGTTAGCTAGCCGAAAAAGGTCGTAACTGATATTCGCAGTTACATATAGTGAAAGTGGTAACTGATATTCACAGTTACACAAGTGATAAAATCAACTAGTTTAGTTGATAATAGCTGCTAGTCAGTAGTGTTAGAAAACCAGCTACTACCAATAGATATTTGATACCACCGTACAATTTAAAGAAATCTTGAAATATACAGTGAACAACCGTAGTTTAACAACCGTGATAAATAGTTATAAAATTTCGCGACTAATCAATCAGTCGAACCGCTGGCCACTACCTTGCTATTTGTATTTGTTAATCGTGCATTTTGATTTTAACTACAGTCCACAATATTTCAGCGGCACCAACAAAGACGGCGGTGAGAGTACCCACCGGAACCTATAGGTGTAGGACGTGAGCGACTCGCGAAGTATCTTCGACAACATTTACTCCGGAGAGTTTCGCCCGTCCGGCACAGTATCACACCTGAATACAAGTAAAAAGTAAAGTTGCAGCTTATATTCCCTACTGCTGAGCGCAGGTCTCTCATTTTGTGAGATTATTATGGTGCAATTAGTCAGTTGTTTGGGCACAATGCTAGTTGTGAAACTTATATGTCCTCCAAATATTTTATTTCTCAGACATGTGTCAAATATTTTTCTTTTACCACTGAACATGTGAACCACATAAAAATTATGATTAAAAATTTCATGGGTGCCAGCAGTAATCAAACAAAGGTTAGGATTGTGTCTTTTGCCTGTATATGTCAAATTCATTAAAACGGACAAAAAGATTAGTATGTGTGTTTTCTATGAGTACAATTAGGGCAGTCTTCAGAGATAATCTCATACTCATTTTCACACACATTTAAACTCAAAAACCAATTCATAAAACAAGTTTGAGTATTGTGTATTACAATACTACATTACTACAAAATTCACAATATTAAAATTTGTTTAAAATAATATAGTACACATTCAACTTTTAACATTGTAAAGTTTGAGTTTAAGATCATAATTTTGTCTGAACTCAAAATAAGGGCATAACCACAGTTACTATTTCTGCCTTTGGGTTAACCAGGTTCTAGTGAAGTCAACCTAAGCTATTGCACAATTGACATGTGCATGCTACTGCAAGCAACTGAAAGAGCATCAAATACAGAATTAATTTAGTTTCCCACTCAACAGATAGCATTGTTTTTAAAATGAGGAAAATTTCATAGTAAGTAAGATAGTAATGTCTTCTTCACTTTTAGTTAAAATATTGATCAACAAAATATTAATTTTACATTACCATCCAAACTTATTAGTTCCCCTTTGATCTGCGAAATTTCTTTTTCTATATCTTCGACAATCCTGTGAATGTTATCATTGTACCATTGAAGAGCGCCGCAGCAAATGCTTAATGATTTACCCTATAAAATTAATGATAAAAATAGCTTTATATATGTTTAACCTGTAAATTTATTATGAACACTAAAAATAATTACGTACTGTTCCAGTAGGACTTTCGAAAATTCCCAGTTTACCATGTTCAATTGTAAAATATAATTCTTTCATAAATTGCTCTTGAATAGAATATGCTTGAAATGGAAACGGAAAAACAGGATTCATTGCTCAGGCAAAAATGTACTTTTATAATTATCATTAGATATAATAAATCAATCTGATTTGGTATTTAACCAATAACGAGAACTTTTGCATTTAAACTTTCTTTTTCGTTTAAAACTTTTATGGTAACAGTTGTTACTATAGTTTTAATTACACTATACAAATAAATAAAAAGTCCGCCTCATATATTTTACAGCAATGGACACCAGGACTTTTTGACACCACTTTGTTTTTTTGTTTTTAACGTTTTCGCGCGCTGTCAGCTGCCTTTTTTAATTATATTAACTGGCTTTCCGGCTCTGGGTTCTAGTTCTTCTGAGCCTTGTCAGCTGTCAGCAGTCAGCACAGCACAGACTAAGAATCATTAAGGTTATAGGAACTTTACCGCATATGGGGTCCATACGGACTGATAAGTGATAATCTTATACAGTCATCTCCCAGATTTTTGTGCCACTTACTTATTAGTTCAGCCGCCTCTCTGATGTATATTTTGTTAAAAAATTTGACATTTATCTCATTCCGAATTTTTTGATAGATTTCTAACAAAGAACAGATTTCGACAGCTTAACCCAGACAGTAATTAAAGTCATGGTCTTAAGCTGCAAAAGCACATAAAAATCTTGAGTTTATATCAATAAAGAAGCACTTGCTGCATTTTTTTCACTAATAGTTTTCATGACCAGATAATAAATACACAAAATCACACCACTTATACGTATCCACTTTAAATCAACGGACAATACAATAATAAAGGAGCGATAATAATTAGACATTCTAGTTAGGCAAAACTCTTATTACCTGTACGGTTAAACTTTTGCCAGAGTCAAATAATAGGTATTTATCATTTTCAATGATTTATAACAAATCTTCATATCTTGTGAAGAATTTAGCTGATGCACGTTTTTAGGAGATATTAAAGACACTTTAAACCAGTGAACAGTTGAAGACGATAGTATTTCAAAGTGCCTAATGGGTTATTGTCTCAAACACTAGAGGGTTGCGTAATTGTCTCTACAGAGGTTTCACACCACAGTACCTCGGTACACTCCGTTAAAAAGTTATAATCCTTCGGTGGAGGATTTGGCGGAGGAAGTCACCACGTTCTTTTTAGTTTCTAAAGTTAAACTTTAGAAACTGGTTTTTTTAATTATTTATTCATTTAAGCGTCAAATTAATGTCCACTCGCTGCCCGCGGATCAGTAAAATGAGGATACAGGACACCACCTGTTGCGCGCACTGTCGCACTTATGGGCCTTACGGCAGGATAGTGGCGTGAAGCACGCATCATTATCGTGTCGACGTGTATATTATAACAGAGTAAAGATTGGAAAATAAGAAGAAAACTATTCTATAATTACATTTATTATTGGTCAAAAAATTCAAGAGCTTGTTTGAAACTAATACTCTTCAACTATTCGGGATCTTCTTTAACTTTTCTTTTGTTAATAACAATGCGCACTTGAGGTAGAATCTTTGTTCCACGTTCATCACATTATAATATTAGAATTATAATATAAGACTATTACATCCCAAAAACAGTTATTTATATCATCTAAAAGTAACCAATGATTATTAAATTACACATGCATAGTCAAATGCGGTTAGCACTTATTAATGAGCATCACCATCAATAAGCAGTTATCGATAAGCGACTATCCCTAGCGCACCGATGGTTATTTATTTATTTATTTATATTTCCTACTAACATCTACCATTACAGGGAAAACCTAAATCGATAAATGTAGCATCTCAATTCAAAAAGTAACAATTCAAATTATAAAAGATTACTAATTACAACACAATAATTAACATGTTGACCACCAAACCCAAAAACTATGTTTTTTAAATTTTTGAACCTGCCTTTTTTGTCTTAATTTTCATTATTATATTAATCTTATAGTAAAATCACGTTAAATTATTTTGGTTTCCCATGATATTCTATGACTTTTCATGTGTGCTAAAAAGAAACACGGGGTCCCTGATAAAGTTTTTACTTAAAAATGTCTTTAGAGGCCGTGTGTATACTTTTGGAAACACGCAAACCAGCGATGGCATTGTCGTTATGAAGTTCAAGGATAAGAGGATTTCAGTGCTGAATGTTTTTTTGAAACATTCAAAACTGATAACCGTTGCCAAAAAACACAGGAAAATCTAGCATCGACTTGAGTGATCAGACGGCTTCGTACAACTCAGCGTTGAGGCGTTGTACGAAATAGTACAGAAAATAATTTATTTTAAGTATTGTAGGGTATCAGCATCGTGAATGCTCACTTTTTGTATTCTGAGAATACTCGCAGAAAGGCACTCAAAAACACAGAATTTAGGGAGGCAGTAATCAGAGGAATGCCTCACAAATACTCACGTCAAGAAGACAAAAGCCCACTAACACCACGACCAACATCAAACAAGTGACACGGACAGGTTTTCAATATCTGGGAAAACCCTCAGAAAAATATGAAAGGACGTTGTATCGAAGGCTAGAAGATGTATGGAAGGCAAGGATAACTAGTTGAAGTAAAACGCAAACTTTCCAAACAAACGAAGAGAATTTGCTCTATTTGCCAAGTTTTGCTATGTACAGATCACTTTGACAAGCTCTACTAACTACTTCTTCGTAAAAAAAACTACTAATTATACCAGCCTTTTATATTCTATCTATCTATCTACTATTGATATTGTATGTTTCTAAAAGAAATGAGAATAATACAAATAAATGTAATTTCTAAAAATAGGTGTTTTTTATTTTTGTCATAATTTTTTACCTAAAAGACATATAAAAAACCTACTCCGGCCGAAACCAGAAGTAAAAGATTCCGTAGTAAAATGTATGAAAACGTGTTTCTTAGTGGATACACTGTCGACCGCGTATCCAAAAGGAAACACGCGGCCTCAGAAGGTAGCATTTTATGTTTCCAAAAAGAAACACATGGCGCTCAACGTGTTAATTTAAATAACAACACATAATAATTAATTTAAATGACGATACATTGCAATCAATTGTATAATACAATTTAAGAATAACATATTGTAAATAATCTCACTTTTGCGAACTCACTCCGTGAACACGAAAATAAGTCCAACTTCTCAGCTACCAAATTTAGTATGTGTATCGTTCGCGTGAGAGGGGTGTTTCGAACCAGTTTAGTCCTGTCGCGTGGCATCGCGAGCAAGCTCGGCCGGCCTCGCCGCTGAACATCAGGCACGCGCAAGCCTATCCACTGCAGCACACCTGGGTTGCTGATGTAACCACGGAACACCCTTAAAATTAAGGTTACCAGCGCTAGATCTCTTCTAGTTTCCAACTTGTTGTATCCAACCATACCTAAAACAAACAAGGTTGGATACATCAAGTATTAGGATGGATAAACCCCATAAAGCCTATGATATATAAATCGCGTGAATTTATTCTGAATGCGCTCCAGCATAAGATTGTATTTATTTTCATGTTGAGCCCATATTGTCGAGTTACACTTCAGCTGACTCCTTACTAGAGCATCATACAGCACTGAGATTGCTTTAATTTTGGTAAATTTTACTGCTCTGCGAATGATAAACTCTAGTCGTTTATAAGCTTTCTTACATATATTCATGATGTGCTCCCGGAATGTCAATTTGACATCCATCTCCCTCTTCATTAGCTTGCCATTCACCTTATAGTTGTAATGGAGTGGTGCCCTTGCACGACTAAATGATAGAATAGAGCATTTTGAAATATTAAACTGCAGTTTATTTTTGTGGCTCCATTCAACTACTTGGTCGATATCGATAAGGTGGCGATAATCATCCTCACTCTTGATGGCTAAAAGCAACTTTAGGTCGTCTGCAAATAATAGACATTTAGCCTCTCTTACTACTTCGGGTAAATCATAAATCATTATATTGAACTCTAACGGCCCTAAATTACTGCCTTGACTCACACCAGATCTAGTAAAACAAGGCTCCGATCGTTACCCACCATACTCCACATACTGTTTTCTATCTCTCATGTAACTTGCAAAAAAATGAAGCAGTTTAGGTGTGCAGCCAGCTTTCGCCATTTTTGACAGTAGGATATCGTTATCTACCAAGTCGAACGCCTTTCTAAAATCAAAGTAGGCGGCATCTACCTGCAACCCTGCGTTAACATGAGGAACCAAATACATCATGGCATTTAAGAGGTTACTATTTATGCTCCTCCCTAGCCGGAAGCCGTGCTGGGCGTCCGATAACTGCAGTGCTACTTGTTCCTGTACACTTTGCTGAATGGCTCCCTCAAACACCTTTGCAGGTGCTGAGAGAATCGCCACTGGTCTGAAGGATTCAACTGCAGGTTTATTACCACCCTTAGGTATCGGAATAACACACGTGATTTTCCAACTTTCTGGAAAATATGAATTCTTCAGACACAAGTTGAAAATATGTAATAACGTTTCTGCCAGCACTGAGCGGCAGTCTCGCATCACAAACGCCGGTATAACGTACGGGCCCGCTGAGCACTTCGGCTTTAGTCGTGCGAGTGCCACGTGCACCTCACCGAGCTGCAGCTGTGGCACGTGCACGCGCGCGCTGCCCGCTCCACCCGCCACCACCGCCTCGTCTACGTTCAGACGCGCTGGCTCGCTGTTGTACACAGAGTAGAAGAATTTGGAAAATTCAGTGGCACTTTCTTGATCCGACAATGCTACTCCATCTTTCAATATTTGTTCACGTTTAACGGTCCCTCTTTTTGCCCTAATATGATCGCAAAAATATTTAGGATCCTTTGCCAAGTTACTTTGCACACGATTCTGATAGTTTAGGTATGCACTATCAATAGTTTCCTTAATTCGCGCCCTGCAAGCAGAAAAAGCTTTGAAATCAGCACGCGATCCGGTCGATTTATATAACTCGTGAAGTTTAGCCTTTAATTTTATACCCCTGATTAAATCACTAGTATACCACTTGGGGTAGTGTCTTTAATCTACTTTATTTTCCCGCTTTTACGGTACACACTTATCTAAAATACCGTAAAAAACATTATAATAATAATTAATATAATTAATAATTATAATGAATAGCATCGTGCGCAGCGAGTGTTTAACATTAGTATAGTCCTCAAAATTTAAATTCAATCAGCATCGCATCTGATAAGATTAGTTAATAGGCCTATTACACTACACTGAATCAGGGTCCCTAAACCCTCAATAAGAATTAAGGCATCACAGTGGAGTCGGTCTGCCTTACTCCCTTAGTGCGCTTACCGATGTGCGACGAGCACGGGAAGCGGTCGTGAGTTTTGTTTTCGTGTTTTGGTTTTCGCGACTAGCCATGTCCAACAAAGAAAAAGCAGTATTGTTGTCCGTAATAGACTTGTATATAGATATGCCTCATTTGTGGAAGAATGACCACAAGGACCATAAGAAATTAAGGTTTTAAACTTTAAAAGTGAAAAAATGTGACTATGTGTGTTTTGATGATATATTTTTATGTAGTAGAGCCACGCTGCAGCTATATTATGGTTGCAGCACGAATGGATCAGCTTGACCGAGGTAGGCCCACGCTTTCTCAGAATACGAGAATAAAAAGCAGCTGGAAGGAACGCACTCTATCTTCATCTTCAGGTGTGGCACCGCATTTGCATTTTGATTCTTAATCGAGGATAAATCTATGGGCCACAGCATCCACATACCATCGGATACTATACTATATGCTCGTCGGAACCCGTATTTTATAAAAAAGTAAAGGTGGCATGACGTCCAGCTGCTCCAAAATTCATACTTTGATTGAGTAAGGGTGTAAAATCAGTGTAGTCTAAGAATGAACGTCTCTAATTAGGGCTCACTCTTAATTTAGAGCCCTGAATCAGTGTGGTTAGTGTAGTTAGACTCGTTTAAGCACAAAAAATTATGTGTTTGTGCACTACACAAAAGTCATGGGTATTGGGTACATCCGTGTTTTACCGCTAATATGCGGGGTATGGAGTGTAGAGATAAGGAGAACAAACTCAGTATAAAAAAGTGTCCGTAGTAAAACAGTAAATAAGGGTGGCGCCACTGTCGCTAGAATGTAAATTTTAAAGAACACTATAATTTTTTATTGCACAGACTTACACCATAATTCTTTTTATAATAATTATTTTATTGTTTTCAAAATTTTTATTTTCTAATAAAGTCAACGCGTTTTACGGCGATTTTTTCCTCTTAGAGTTTTTGAACTGTTATTTACTGCTTACAGATGGACCCATTTTCAACTATTCACCTATGAGAGATTGTCCTCCTTACCTCAATACTCCATGGCTCGGGGGCGGGGCTACTGGCTTGACGGTAGGCTCAGAAGGACTAGAACCCAGAGCCGTAAAGCCAGTTAATAAAAAAAGCTACTGGCTGGACATAATGTGAATTGTCAACATGACATTTGTGAATATCATAGAGGAAAGGTAATATATCGTAATGAATAATGACCAAGCGACCAAGCGACTTTTGCAGACTTTTGGCTATTTGTTTTAAAACAATAAAACTCTAACTTCTCTATCTCTAACGATAGGTAAAAAGAAAAAAAAAAGGATTAATTGAAATAAATTTATTACTTCTCTGACCAATCACTCCACATTTTGATAATATGTCGCATAAGTGCGTACTCTTATTGGATTAGTTTTATAACACGTTAATCTTATCTTACTATTCAATAATGTAATTTCAGTATAAAAATTCTACCCGGTGCTACTGTTTGCGAAGATTGTACGTTAGAAGGCGATATTACTATAGGAGGAGGAACAGTGATTCATCCGAGAGTTACTATTATTGCAGAGGGTGGACCTATCATAATAGCAGAATATTGTTTATTTGAAGAATATTCCACAATAATTCATAAGTAAATATTAAATAAATTCAAATTCTATCTAATTTTTAGTGTTTACTATCCGTAATTTATTTGCTTTCTGCTACATTTTCTGGCTGAAGTAAAGTTTTATTTTCACATTTTACAGCATTAAATGTTTCGGAATTATTGAAATCTTTCAGGAAAAGTGATAAGCAAGAGAATCCTCCAAAACCACTTTTTATTGGGGCCCACAATGTCTTTGAAGTAGGATGTAAGCTTGAATCACCATGTGGCCATATAGGAGAAAGCAATGTATTTGAATGCAGATCATTTGTTGGTGTTGATGTTAAGATTGGCAGTGGATGTGTAATTGGTATGTATTAATGAGTAAACATGCTTAAGCATGTATAATATTTATCATGTAATTATTATTTTGTTTGTACCCTGGTATTAGTAATAAGTGGTAACATAGTATTTAAACATAATATGTGATACAATTAATTTCATTGTACTTAGGTTATATTAGCGGAATGTACAAATTTTTAGATAGTATTTGATTATTTAACTTTTGCTTGCATCCTAATATTTCTATAAATTAACGGTGGGGATATGGTGCTGACAGCTGATGCACAGGTCTCCTAGTTCGGCTGCAGATGCTATGTTTTCAAGTATATGTACTAATGTAGCTTTATTAAATAATGTTATGCAAATATCATGATGTACAACCTCTTGGCAATAAAGAACTTATTATTATTATTATTAATATATAAAATGTTTATGCCATAGAATTGTAAGGCCCTTGTATAACATATAAATGTATGAGTTAAAAAGGAATCTTAAAAAGGTATAAATAAGCAATTTACAGGAAAATCATCACCATCATTATCATTAGAGCCCTTCAGAAGTCTACTCCTGAACATGGGCCTCCCCCAAGGAATGCAAAAAGCACTGGCCTTTGCCACCTGCATCTATCCACTTCCTGCATGTCTTACCAGGATGTCACTCCATCTAGTGGAGGGATACGAGGCTGCCACTCGAGAAATGTTCTTCACCATCAACAGGGAAATCATGTTAATCCTTAAAAGTAACTACAATAAGTACTATAATAACTCAAGACTCAACATACCTTAAAAACTGTGTGTGAATAATCAACTTTTTAGAACATATAAATGGGTGAAATGTGCAAATTGTAACATTATGCAATTAAACTCATGCTAAGTGTAGTGTAATATAGGGCAAAAAAAAAATTAGGAATCTTAGGAACTGCAATTAGAAAATGAAACAAAAACATAATGAAAGCCCTGAAATTTATTATAATAGAAACTTACTTCAGTTTTGTGACAGTTTTATAGACACCTCACAAAGTTACAAAAATGTGTATATATTATGTTCTTCTTGTTTTGAACATAATATTAATAACCATTATTATTTGTTTTTTGAAAACTGACATTTTACCCTGCTAGGATTTTCTCCCATATTCTGGAGGCAGTTTACAAACATAAATTGCACAAGGACAAACATTCAGATCCAGAACAATTATTTGTAAGCCATAAAAATTCTTGTTCCAAGTGAGTTTCGAGCCCGTGGCCCTCAGCATCATAAGTAACCTAAACTACTGCACCACATGTCCGTTAATCATAGCCATTATTATAAATGAGATGTTTATTTTTATGGAATGAAATAAAAGTAAGAACATAATATAGTTTTATAGATGATATAAACTGTTGAATAGTATAATATATTCAGGCTGGTAATCTATCACTTTGCACCTGGTATGCATGCTGCTTTTTCTTTTTTTTTCTCCTACTACTACTGAACATAGGCCTTCTATTATAGTAAAGATGCTGGATTGATAATCACAGTACCAGAAGTCTCTTACCTTTGACTTTGCTCTCCATTGCAGGTACACTTACAACAACTAACAACTACATGGCATATCCATAGCAAGAACAACCTATCAATGTTTAGTCATTGTTAAAGTATGAAAATGTAATTAGTTATTGTTACAGTCTAATAAGTCCACTGTTAAACATAGGCCTCCCCTACAGAATTCCTCCTAGGGGAGATTTTACAATAGTTGCCTTGGCAAGCGGGTTGGCATTGACATGTGGCAGTGTAAGAATATCCACTACCCCATATCATCTTGTGGGTGTCGTAATGGGCAACAGATCAGGAGATGGGCAGCAGCATCTTTCTCATAACTACTATAATTGTAACTTTAAAAATTTATTACAAATTGTATTAATGTGCTATGAATACTCACATAATTCGCTTTTATTTCTGCATTCCATTATTGCAAAATATGGAATATTTGTGTATGTATGTATTCAGTAGCGACACATCTGCTTGTGACTATATATTATGCAACTGGCACTTTGGCAGATTTGACAGAACAGCAATTTTTGGCATGAGTGTAAGTGCATAGTCTCTGCCTGCCCCTCTGTGATGGACGATATAATTTATGTCATGTGTTTACATACATTATTTTTAAATTAATATTATTACTTCAACAGATTAAAAATTAAGTATTTTCATTTACAGGTGCAGCTTGCAGTTTAAATGCACCACAAACTTTGGCTGACAATACTGTTATATGGGGTTCTGAACACCATAACAGGGAAGCATTAGAGAAACAACCATCACAGATGCTTCAGTTGGACTTTTTGAGTAAAGTGATGCCTAATTATCATAGACTTAGGAAACCTAATGTACATAAGAGGCAGACTTCTAGACAGTCTCAAGAACCAATAAAAGCTTAATGTCCAACCATATGAATATCAATGTAAAATGTAAATAACATCAAGAAAAAAATTGATGGATCTATTATTTATTTTACTACTTAGAAAAAGTAAATATCTTTACAATTTATTATCTGCACAAACAATTTATTATCTGTATAATGTACCATGAAACGCTAGTTTACAATGTAATTACAATTTATTTTTCACTTTTCCTATAGGTAATCGTAATAAAGAATAGTTAAGGATTTAGTTTCTTGTCCTTTGCACCCAACTAACAATAAGTACTAAATGAAGCTCTAACATCATAAATGATGACTAACAGCATTGTCAGTGAAAGAGTATAATAATATCCTCTTTAATTGAGTTACCTGTAAAAACCCTTAATTTTTTGTATTGTAAATTTATGGCTTGACTGTTAGTGGTGGTGTACGAAAATTATGGCTTTGATTATTAGGGGTGGTGTAAAAATAACCACTATCCTATATCATCCAGTAAGTGTCCGAAGGAATGGAGGGAAATTTAAACAGAAGATGGACACCAGCGTTTTACTAATAATAACTAAAACAAAAAGGTGATATTTGTGAAAACTACACAGTCGAATTATTTCTCTGTGATATTTAAATATTGGTTTAGGTATCAATATTTTTGTCACTTGATGGTAGATCCAGACAAGTTTCTTTACCAATTTTGTTATCAGAGTTACTGATCGATGATGAATTCTTACATTCCTATGGGCTTCCCGAAAAATTTTGCAATTGGTTTTCTTGCTGATCGGAGCATCAAGGTTGTAGTAGACGGTGCATGCTCTGATTACAAGCCCATTAACACTGGTGTTCCACAAGGCTGCGTGCTATCACCAACGCTCTTTCTTCAGCATATCAATGACATGTTGCAAACCGGTAACACTCATTGCTATGCAGACGACAGCACTGGTGATGGTTTATACACCGGCCGTGCCAATATTTCTCGGAAAAAGAAAGTCGTAAGAGTCGCAGTCAGTGGCGAAGCCTCCATAGAAGCCGGGCTTGCTTTATCAAACTGCTCAATCAATAATATCAACTAATAAAATAACTCGTAAACTGTTTCAAACTATTTCAAATTTCCTGCGCGCTCCTCTTTTCTAGGCAGGGCATGACCTCGTAGTATATAATACGTAACTTCAACACTTGGCAGTTTGCTTTCAATTCGAAATACACTGGACTGTCAAAATTAATGAAAGCGAGGAGGTGATTTTGTCATCGCTCTGGCATGCGTCGGCCATTACCGGGCTTTCGAGAAGACGATCGCTACCTTTCTAACCTGTGGCAAAATGTTCTATAATCAAATATAACTACGAAATGTTTATTAGCAATTACTATGGAACCAAAAGCTGGGCTTTGCCCGGAAGTTGTTAAGGAGTGCGTTAGCGAGTGGGGGAGGGGGGGCGATGCGTTTGCATGTTCACTTCACATTTCAATGTTTATGTTTGTTTTTGTTGTGTCTGTTAAAAATGTATGCTTTTTCAAAGATTTTTAGTGAAAATGAGAGAATAATAGTGTTCCTTGTGATGAATATAAGTGTGTTAAAGTGCTAATCTGCGAGGAAATGGAAAATCTTTAAAAATGAAATTTTAATTCAATAAACATTTCTTCATACTTCAATAGGTTTATAGTTTAGTATTAAAGTTTAATTATTCTAGTTAAAATATCATTTTGAACTGCAGCATAAAATATGAGATACCTAGGTATAAGTTTAATTTTATAATAAATAATTGTTACAATCTTTTTTTTTAAATGTGAAGCCTAAATTTTAATGTAATAAATTAAATGAATACATATATTGAGGTTTTTAAAGAATATTTCCGTTAGTCCTTCGGTTCAGTATATAAAATTTTAAAAGAGCCAACTACTTAATTCTATAGGAGAAGTCATTTTATCGAACGAAAATTGATTGATTCTCACGGTGGTACGTAAAGATCACGCTAGATGGTATAAACACGCTATCGGCTAATTTAATATTTATATTACCTTAAGAGTTAAAAATATCATTTTGTAGGGTTTATTAAAATTGAAAATGAATAATTATATAAAATAGTCATCATCTTATGGTAAAAAAATTTGCAAAGCTTTATCTTCACATTATACCATATCTAATTCCTGTCGTAATCTGTTCTTCTATGCGTATAACTTAAACAAAATAATTTAGATATTTCACATCTGCCAGGCGATCCTTTTTTAATTTTGTACATAATTTGTTTGTACTTTGTTCATGCTTTTCTTTTGTTCATGTATTGTATGTAAATATCTTTTTCTTTCGCTTAAGTAAACCCAAACAGCTCTTCTCAAAGCCACCGAAGGTATGCAATTGCATATGTTATACAATCTATCAAGCGGTAGTATGCCTTCTGTGTGCGTTGTTAAACATGTCCTTGACAGCACTAAATATGAAACTAAAGAGTGGAGACAGATCAAGATTAATGTATTTTTATAAAACTGCTAAAAACAACAAAATCATATCTTGGGCTTGCCCTAGTTTGGAGCTCTAGCTTCGCCACTGCGCAGAGTACCGGAACAAACTTGTGTCTGAAGTCGAAACTTTGTTGAACAAAGTTTCGGACGGGGGGCGACTAAATCTACTCCAGTTTAATCCACAGAAGACACAAGTTTGTGTTGTAGTGTATGTGCCTCCACCCTACTAGCATATATTAATAAATGTACTTAGGTTTAAGAAACAGTATAATTAAAGTCTTGAGTAGAGAAACACGTCTCTTCCTTTCATTTACCAACCGTTCAACATTTCATGGCGACCCTGCCAGGATACAACAAGGTAATGAAGAAATAAAGAAGGAATAAATATTTATGGCAATAATAAAAATATGACATTGACCAATAAGTAATGGAGAGATATGGGAACGTTCAACACTGGTATAGCGTATAGTCCTCGAGCAGGGTACGTTTCCGTGATTGGACGATGAAATCGGAGTAACGGGTACTAGGGAACAACGCCTTCAGCACAAGTGATGTAACTGAGTTTACTCATATTAGTACTGTTAGGGACCAGAGAAGTCTTAAATTTGTTACCCTTAATAATGGTACATTGAGGTCACATCCTTCGTTGGATCATGGTGCGAACGTTGTTTTCCTCAGTGACAATTGTTGGAGTCCTTTGAAAATGACTTAAACGTAGACCTCAAGGTTGTGCGCACAACCCAAGGTACATTTTTACCTTGATATAATTACGATAAAAACTTATGTACCAACAAAATGAAATTCATGTTACGAAAATGTAATATAATACCCGAATAAATGGGGGGCCCATATGTATGTGTATAAAGTACCCGCGTGATAAATATCACGAAATAAAATATAAATGAAATGAAATAATACTCCGATTCCCGGTATCTAATAGATAAATAAATATATAAGTGAATAGAGAGAAAGAGAGCTAGCTAAAGGTCAAAAATATTAAGAAGAAAAAAGAAAGTACGTACAAGAATTATGGAAAAAGGCTTAATAATTTATGACAGTACAGGATAATAAGGGGATCCCCGAGCAAATTAAAAAGTGTGACAAATGTATGATAATCTAATAGTGAGATAGGTATAATATTATAGTTATAGTGATTTTGCATTTCTGTATTAGGACTATTAATGCTTACCAAAATGCCACTAACAAGTTAGTCATGTAATAACTATAGGGATTGATGCACAAAAATAAAACTATTAATCAAATTATACAATAAACACATTTTCATGTTATTGTCTTACCACATTCTATAAGAACTTACGAGATTTTTTTTTCATATTTAGGCACATTGATTCATAGTTACAATAACTCTACCCTTTTCTTTTTATGTTGTGTTTCTCTTTGGTTTATGTAAAATTTGTACATTTTAAATGCTTACTATAATCAAATCCAAAGTGTGTTATAAGCTTGATAATGTAATAGTTTTTTTTTTCTTTCTTTCACAGCGTAACCTAAAATTATGTTAGAATATATTTATTTTAAAAAAAAGTTCTCGTCTCAAATGTTAATCAATATTTTGGTATAACTTTTAAATTAACTTTATTAAACTTAATTTTATCTTTTAAACTCTGTTCAATTAAGATAAACGTTTTTTCTATGAAGTCTTGAAATTTTAAAATAAGTAGCAGTTAATGAGTTTTGATTATTATAAATAACTTAATAAATACATTTTGTATGTAAATGTATTATAATAATGCAACTATCTTAACGACATAAATTAAAAAGTGTTTAAAACTATAATTTTCAGATACATTTCACTTGAATTTTTAAAAGAACATCTTATAAGTTATATTTAATTAGGTTCATATGTGTCATAAGATGTAATTGCAAACCTTTCCTTATACGTGCTTTGGACTTTATAACAAAGGTGTCACAGACCGCTTACGCGGCTGGGATTGCAAAATGTATTTTGATCTGTGTTGTTATTTTAATGATATGATACCTTTGCATTAGATTATGTTCTTTGTTTTGTTCATCTTAAAATGAAATGTAATATGTGCGGTGTTATATTCATAGAACCTTTAAATCATATGCTTTTAACTGTTATAAGTCATTAGTTCCTGAAAAAATTGTAGAGTGTTTATATCTAACCCGTTTGTGTGGAAGTAATGATTAATCAAATATTACGTGGTTATATAAAAAAAAAGTAAATGGAGAACTTTCCTTTTTTTTAAGTATCGGGGGAGGTGTAGTGTATGTGCCTCCACCCTACTAGCATATATTAATAAATGTACTTAGGTTTAAGAAACAGTATAATTAAAGTCTTGAGTAGAGAAACACGTCTCTTCCTTTCATTTACCAACCGTTCAACATTTCAGTGTATTTACCGCTTAAAAAGACCCCTTCGTCGTATCTCCCCAGTTTCAAGGTACTCCCCTTGTTGCCTCAGCCAGTATCGGAATCCTCGTCGTCGACATATCGAGCCACGTGCAATTTCGTGGTCACTTGGAAGAGAAGGCCAAATTGGCCTCTCAAAAGCTTGGCGTGCTTAGCAAAGCGGGACAGCATTTCATG